ATGCCCGGCCGTCTCCTCCCCTCCACCCAATTCTGCTTCCTCCTCCTCCTTCTCTTCCCCCCCTTAGTTTTGGTTAGGCCCTGAAGCCCGCCAGTCTCTGCCGGCGCCCACGTGCTTGCCTATTCTAGCCTTTCGCTTCCTCTCTGGGCCTGGCCCTGCCTGGGGCCGCTGGCGCTGGGTTGGTGTTGGCGAGGCTCCACCTCCGCCTCCTGGCTCCCACCCGCGTCTGCCTGCTGACGTACTGGCCCTCGGGATCGGCATCAGCCTCTGCGATCCGGGCCAGCCCCACGTGCTTGGCGGGTCAGATCGGGTAGGATGCGTGCAGGAGGGGTAGGGGGGGAAAGAATCCAGCTGGCCTTTCTCTCCCCCCCTTTCCCCATCCTCTCTCTCTTCCGCATGCTCGCAAGGCGCCCGGCCGCCATCGCCACATGGGCCTGGCTGCCTCCCTTTGCCTCCTTGCCTGCCTGCTTTTGTTACTTCCTTCCGCTCTCCCTCCTCTGGGCTGCCGCTGGGACACGTATCCTTGGAGCAGGCGGACCGGGGCCTGCCTGACTTCCTGGCCGGTTGCGGGCCAGGCCTGCGGGGGTGAGTGGAGGAGAGAGGGAACACCCAAACCCCATCGATAAAGGAGGGGGGGCCTGAAAGGGGAAAAAAGGCATTTCCTTCTAGTTTTTTACTTCCATGTGCTACCAGCGGTGACTTCATGTTCTTCTCTCTCCCCGACCTCCTTTTACTGGAAAATGGGGGCTTTGTGATGATCGCTTCCCTGCGATCATCGCGAAATGAAGAAAAACCATAGGGACCATCGCAAAAAGTCCCTCGCTAAGCGATTTCATCGCTCAACGGAGCGATCGCTATGCGAGGCACCACTGTATTTCCAAACTGAGAAAGCGCCGAGGTGTTTGAGTGCCTCCTAGTGAGATTGTAGTGTCCAGTTATAAGCACCGCATTTTAAGAGATTGACAAACTCTGATCAGAGGGCGGCAGGTTGGTGTGAGGTCTAGAAACCAAATTTGATAGTACAGTCCAGACATGTGCCCTTTGGTGATGCTGGTGGAAGCGACAGAGTTCTCTTAAAATATGGTTAATTCCCTCAAAGAGGGGGGAGGTGGTCTTACGTAAGAGACTTCATACAAATGTCACAGTTCGATGCAGTTGAAGCCAAAATACTTAGAGGCGTTACTTTTTACTTGACCTATCTGTGTATTTTAGTACTGGAAAGCTATGGATCCTATTACTGCTAATGACAACATAAAAACAAAAGAATTCCAATACTGCAGGGTGGTAAGGAAACAGGAACTGGAAAAGAAACGAAAAAGGAGGAAAATTGAATGGCTGAAAAAAATGTGAGTTATCAATTCTTTAAAAGTCTGCATATAACAGTAAATTGCTTCCATTTTATCTCCTATGTGATTTTTAATTATTATTCATGTAGCAGCATTTTATTTGCATTAGCTATAGGCTTTAGCAAGATAAATAATATTTACAAACATATAAAATCAACATATTAAAATCAAGATACATCAGATACATACAGGTCAACATAAAAAAACTAAGATCATGACCACTGGTCCCATCACCTCGTGGCATATAGAAGGGGAAGTGACAGATTTTACTTTCTATGATCACTGCAGATGGTGACAGCAGCCACGAAATCAAAAGACGTCTACTTCTTGGGAGGAAAGCAATGGCAAATCTCGACAGCATCTTAAAAAGCAGAGACATCACCTTGCTGATAAAGGTCCGCATAGTCAAAGCTATGGTTTTTCCAGTAGCAATGTATGGAAGTGAGAACTGGACCATAAAGAAAGCTGACCGCCAAAGAATTGATGCTTTTCAATTGTGGTGCTGGAGGAGACTCTTGAGAGTCCCCTGGACTGCAAGGAGATCAAACCTATCCATTCTGAAGGAAATCAATCTTGAGTGCTCACTGGAAGGACAGATCCTGAAGCTGAGGCTTTAATACTTTGGCCTTCTCATGACAAGAGAAATCTCCCTGATGTTGGGAAACATTTTAGACCTGGAAGTAAAGTGATTGCACTACACAGAAGATTTACAGCTTCAAGTGTAGATACTGGAAAATAGATGTCATCAGGCTAACATCTGTTTACATGAACTGAGTGAATACAGTATTCAGGACTGAGTCTTCAGAAGGGCTTAATTGAATTTCTGTTAAAATAGTTTTATTTAGTTTTAGCAAAGTGAATCTTGATATAGCAGACAGAGAGGCTCACAAAGCAATAAAGGCTAAACGACCCCTGGAGAAAAATGCTAGATATAATTGTACATTTCACTTGTCAGTGCATTAAAGAGCTTCTGAAGGTGCCAGGCAATAGAGACCTCTGAGGTATAAAAACAGGGGAAGATAGCTCCGCCAAGATCTCTGTCCTGGAACCCTCAAAGGAAAAAAAATTCTTTCCTACACATGTGGTGGCAACCCAGCAGTGATTTTTGACTATTAAAGGCTGTCCCCACCCCACCCCAGGGCTCCCCAAAGCCCTCCCCAGGAGCTTTGGAGTCTGAAGAAAAAGGGGGGTGGATAGGAAGCTTTAAATGAATTTAAATTGTTACTGATTCTGGATTCAGTTTACATGCCGTAACTATAAACAACAGGATTTTCCCAATGAAATGCTATTGTATGAAGGCTTCCTTGTTTTTTATTGGGAAGCTGCAAAATTAGAAACAGCCGAAGTGGAAGAATAAGCAGCAATTCTCCCTCAAACAATGTAAAGCACAAATGGGACTACTGCATTGATGGAAAAACTGACACATTCACTAAAAAAATCCAAAAACACATGGTTTAAATTTATAATATATGCTAATCAGAATAATGTCCCTGTGCGCCCCCCCCCCCAGTCTTATGGGAAACTCTGAAGGGATGGACTGGGATAGACTAAACAAATGTCACGGTGAAACCCTGGTATGATCTGCTTATGTAAAATGAAGAAAAACTAACGTCTTTGTGTTTCAGTATCCTCCATTTGATACAGAAACAATGAAGAATGAAAATGCACATTTCCCTGTTTCCTAGGTACTTTGGAGAAAAGCTGCAAGTGAAAACTCTGGATCCAGATGCAACTGCCTTAATTCAAAGAGCAACAGAAGGATTAATGAACAGTCTGGAATGTGAAGGAGTAGATAAAGTGATGGAATGGGAAGTGAATGAAATGTTAAAATGGACAAATGCACTCAACTATGAAACGTAATTTTTTAAAACTTGACTCAATGAAAGTGTGAATTATTTATGGCTAGTTAGTCTAAAAGGGACATGGTGGCGCTGTGGGCTAAACCGCAGAAGCCTGTGCTGCAGGGTCAGAAGACCAAGCAGTCGTAAGATCGAATCCATGTGACGGAGTGAGCGCCCATCGCTTGTCCCAGCTCCCGCCAACCTAGCGGTTCGAAAGCATGCAAGTAGATAAATAGGGACCACCTTGGTGGGAAGGTAACAGTGTTCCGTGTCTAAGTCGCACTGGCCATGTGACCACGGAAGATTGTCTTCGGACAAAACGCTGGCTCTATGGCTTGGAAAAGGGGATGAGCACCGCCCCTAGAGTCGAACACAACTGGACAAAAATTGTCAAGGGGAACCTTTACCTAGTTAGTCTAAACTAGAATAGATTTCAGTAGATTGAATCAAATCAAAATGTTGGCAGATTCCACTAATTCATGTTGTTGCCTATTGCTGTTCTTTTTTAACTGAACATGTTTGTTCATTATTGTGCCTAGATATGTCAAAGAATGGAAAGAAATTGGAACAAGCAAGATTTCTGAAAGCCACCTAGGTATAAGATCCAGTCTCTTATATGCAAATCTTTGTCATTTTGTCTCAAAAATGCTATAGTTCTGGGTTGTGGTAGAACCAAGCTGAGAACGGTTCTCTATATACTGTGTTTTCCCGAAAATAAGACAGGGTCATATATTAATTTTTGCTCCAAAAATGCATTAGGGCTTATTTTCAGGGGATGTTTATTCAAATACAGTCATGTCATCTAGTTGCTGTACAATGGTAAAGGGTGGACTTTCACTTAACTGGGGCTTATTTTGGGGGTAGGGCTTATATTATGAGCATCCTGAAAAATCATACTAGGGCTTATTTTCAGGTTAGGTCTTATATTCAAGGAAGCAGGGTAACATGTAAGGTTGAGCTAATGCACAAAAGCAGCAGAAAGGTACTAAATTGTACAGATATATAGCTATGCTATAAGCTGTTTGTATAACTATGTGACGAGATGAGTGCATTCAATTTACATCCAGTGTCATTCATTAAAATCAGGAATGGTAATCACGCTTCGCTACAACACCCCTCAGCCCTGGACATTGGAAATGCTGACTGGGAGTTAGGGCCCAATAGAATCCTGAACATCATAGTTTCTCCACCCCTGCTTAAAATTAGAGGTCTACAATTAACCTGAATTGTGTGGACAGCTCTTTGTATATATTACTCACCCACTTGTACTTTTGCAGTTGTGGATACAATAGCTGAAATCCTGTTGCTTAGTTTAATAAATATAGAGTAGGCCCATTAAATCAGTGGTAATTTGGTGAGTCAACTCCTTCATCAGTTCCATTGCTTCAGTGGGTTACTCTGTCTTGAGACTTATGTAATGTAACAGAATTTCAGTCATTGATTTTGTAATCTGTCATCTAAATTTCAGTTACATTTTTCTTTGGAAAGACTACATTTTATAAAGGAATCACAAAGTTACAAAACTGCAGTGGCCAGAATCCTTTTGAGATTATATTCAGAGAAGTAAACCCATAAAAGACATGGTAGCAAATTCCAGTACAACTACAGTGGTGCTCAATTTACGACACATAATCCATTCCAAAAGATGGACATAACTCGAAATGGTTTTACGTCGAAGCACCATTTCCCATAGGAATGCATTGGAACGTGATTAATCCCTTCCAGCATTTAAACAAACAAACAAACAAACAAACAAAAAACCCACAGCCAGAACGTGATGGGGCTGAAAAACAAATAAAACACACACACACACACACACCCCACACAGCCAGCCCCATCAAAACATGATGGGGCTGAAAAACAAATTTAAACAACACCCCCACAGACAGAGCCAGCCCCATCAGAATGCGATGGGGCTGAAAAACAAATAAAACACGCACACACACATCCCACACAGCCAGCCCCATCGGAACGCGATGGGGCTGAGAAAAGAAACACACATCAAAACACATCACAGCCCAGAAACCTAACACCCCCAAACCCACCCTGCAAAACAAAGTGAATGTACTTGCTCAGGAGCAAAAAGCAGCAGCAGGCAGTCTGAAGCCTCCTCCGACACACACACTCTGACCGTTGGGGTGAAAGAGCTACAAAGAAGCTCTTTGCCAACCAAGGGTTAGCCCTCTAATTTGAATTCCCCGCCTTTTTTCCTTGCCTCTTTTGTTTGCAACTTGAAGCTCCGGCCCTAAGTTGAAGCAAAATTTTGCGGCCGGAGCTGATTGTAAACCAAAATGGTCGTATGTCGGGATTGTCGTAAGTCGAGGCACTACTGGAACAAAGCACCAGCTGCATGCTTGGTTGTATGACTGGCACCTTGTTAATTAGCTGCAGCTCCACCACAACATACACAATTTCACTTACTTTGGGGTATAATTTCAGTAGAATTCTGCCCAACGCAAATTGCAGTATGCATATTCACTTCACAGGCTGCTCTGATATATACAAATATATCTTATGATTTCCAGAATATAGTGGTGCCTCGCTTAACGATGATAATCCGTTCCAGGAAAATCGCTGTTAAGCGAAAATGTTGTTAAATGAAATTAAAAAGCCCATTGAAACGCACTGAACCCCGTTCAGTGCGTTCCAATGGGGTAAAAACTCACCGTCCAGCGAAGATCCTCCATACGGTGGCCATTTTCGCTGCCTGTATAGCAAGGAATCCGTCCCTAAACACAGAGGGGAGCCATTTTAATTACCCGGTGGCCATTTTGAAACTGCCGATCAGCTGTTTAAAAAACATTGTTTTGTGAAGAATTAGGGAACCGATCATCGCAAAGCGAAATTCCCCCATTTATACCATTGTTTTGCGATCGCAATCGCAAAAAGATCGTCGTAAAGTGGATTCGTCATAATGCAGGGCAATCGTAAAGCGAGGCACCACTGTATCAACAAAACATTAGGGATGGCAAATAACGTACTTCTCAATCATACCAAAATTATTACTGTAAAATGGCCATGGTTTTGAATATTCTGCAAATGCATAAAGAAGCCACGATTTAGCACTGTGGATAGAATTCGATGTTTTGAAAGCATCAAGTTTCATTATTTAAGCCACAGATGGAGGAAATACTGCGTTAGCAGATTGCACCCCCTCCCACTCCCACTCTAAACAGAACAGAGGGATCCTGGGAGCTATAATTTAAAAAAACACCCTGTCATCTCTTCTTTCTGGCTTAAGTAATAACCACCTTAAGAACCATATAACTACAAACATAGGATTGAATGTGTTAGGCAATGCATGATAAAATTTCCAACAGTGAAAGTAAATGGGAAATAATACTCCAGGTGCCTGGGACAGGTTTTCAGGACCATGTGCATCTTGCACATTTCCAAAACTAGCAGATGCAGTGTGCATTAAATAACATCAGCTGATGTGTGCAAGCAGAGCAATATATATAATTCATCCATGATTCAGATCCTGCATAATACCAACTTGACCTATAGATTTAGAGTAGGCATCCTTTAGTCTCAAGAGACTATGGTAATAGGCTTTGAATAGAGGACTTAGAACAGACTTAGAACATACTGTAGATTACAGTATGCAAATTTCCATTTATGACTGTTCCAAAAAAATACATTGGTTGCCTTGTACATATTTTCTTACATTCATTCCATTTCTAATTTTTAGGTTTCCAGTTTTGTGACAAACCATATGATCTTTCTGAGTTATCAAAAAAGATCCAGGAATTAGTACAATCTCACATGGGCAAGGGCAGAAAGGGACAGCAAGCACCCTGATCGCTGACGAGAAACTAAAGTTGAAAAATACATGCTTCTATTCTGTATAGGAAGTGTCAACTGAAATACTATTGAATAAAATGTTGGCTAACAAAAATTAATGTAGATATGATGATATATTCATATAGTTTCCAGACTTTATACATTAAAACACAATCTAAAGGAGCTTGGACATTATCATGATAAATATTCTGTCTTGAATAAAAAGAATTGTTTTTGGACATACATATCATATAGTGAAATAAACATAATTTTTCATTTTACTTTTCAAAGATATAAACAGTATGAATAAAGCCAGTGTTATCGATTAAGTGCCTTTTCTCAGGAAGGTTAAATCACTAGTTCTTAACCTTACTCAGGAGTTTTGGACTGCAACTTCCAGAAGCCTTCACCACCAACTGTGCTGGCTGGGGTTTCTGGGAGTTGCAGTTCAAAAACATCCGAGTAACAAAGGTTAAGAACCACTGGGTTAAATGATCTATAGCAGCAATAGCACAGGAACCACAAAGAACACTTACTGAAGACCAAATGAAACTGGAACACAAAAGGGGATTGTGCAGGCCATCTTGACTGCTGACACTGGTGTTTTCAACGTTCAGGTGTATGTAAAGCTTGGCATCCTATTTGTTAGAGGCAATGCTGCAATATTTCAAGACAATGTTGGGCCATTTCCTTTTGTTTTAAGTCATGGATACAGAAGTACCCCACGTGCATAAACCAGAAGATATTTTGAAGGACTGAATTTCCTGGATTTTGGAATCAGAAGTTTGATACCTCACAATACATCCAAATCTACAATGGAAGAAATCACTGGGAGGTCTAGACTCCAGTACCATATATAACTGGAAATATCCCACTAAATTCAGTAGGGCTTCCTTCTGTGTAGGTTTACATAAGAGTGCTCCAACACTGGAGCGACATTCAAGAAAAACTTAGATAATCAAGTCACAGATGTGCTTTGATTGTATTCCTGCATTGAGCAGGGGGTTCGACTTGATGGCCTTGCAGGCCCCTTCCAACTTCACTTTTCTATGATTCTGTGATTGCAGTGCAAATGTTTTTGGCAGTTATGTTTCATCAATCCAAGAAGACAGTACTTCTGGATAATGTATCCTGCAAGTAATTCTACCTGCCAGTATATTTGGAAGGAAGGAAAACTGGAGGAAATGTATAAATCAATGACTGTTCACCAGTGCTATGTAAAAGAAGTAGCTGACTTGTGTTCTTTATCGCCTGAGCTCACTTGACTCTATCCTAGTACAATGACACTTATCTTGACTTGGGATCCCAAACAGGTTCTGGGTCCCAATAAGAAGCAACTCACAACAACTCTTAACAGGGCTTTCAAAGTAAGTGGGATACTTAAGGAGTTGTTTTAGTAGTTTTCCTGCCTGGATAGCTCACAATTTAAGTATATGGCTGTGGAGCTACAGGTTGGGAGTTGAATTCCCTACTGTAAATCTCAGAAGAGCCAGCCTGTGTGGCTTTGAGCAAGCTGCACAGTCCCAGGATGCCCACAGAAGGGAATGGTAAACCACTTCTGAATATTCCACCCAAAAAACCCTGAAAAGGGTTGCCATAAGTCAGAATTGACTTGATGGGACACAATTATTGTTTACCAGTTTCCCCCACCTCCTCCCCCAGTGAGTTTCTACAATTGAGCAGAATTGAAACCCTGGATCCTTGAGTCTGTGTCCATCACTTTTATCCACACTGGGTGCCTGAGGCAAAGGACAAGGACATATTTCCAACAAGCACTTTGTCAGTCACAGTATGGTGAACAGTCCTTTCTAATACCAAAATAAACATGAAACTTCTTTCAACTTAATCTGGAGCTTTATTTTTATACTATAGCAGAACAGTATACAAAAATTGTTTTGGAGGCAAATGCTTGTCTGAAAGAGCTTTGCTTTATTACACATGCAAGAAGTTCTGTTACTCGCATTTAAGTTCTACAGCACATCAGATGTCTAAGATCCATCCGATATGATAGCTACTACCATTTATAGCAGAGGCAGGCAGTCTTTAGCTCTTCAGTTTCCAGAAGCACATCTAGTACGTCCAATGATAAAATATAGCAGCTGTAGTCTAGAACATCTGGAAGGTCAAAGGCTGTCCCCATTTGTTTTACAGCATGTTAGTATTCAAATAGAATTCAGAAGAATCTATTTACATTTATTTTTTCCATGTGAACAATGCATATATGTTACATAAAATATATAGTAGCTACAATTTCACATAGTTTCACTTATGTTCATTTTAATTTATAACGTATTTTCCCCTGCAAACTCCCAACATGCAAGATCACTGAGGGGAAAAAGGACTAATTTGCATATCTGAAACAATATTAAAAACTGAATTCAACTTTTTTTAAAAAATAATAATTATATATAAAACATGGCTACTATTTCCATGATACTTGAACGGGCATAAAGTAAGCTGTGTACATATTAAGAGTTTGCTAGCTTATATTAAAACTTCCATCTGAACTTTATAATTTGTAAAGAAAATACTATCAATATTTATAGAAAACGAAACCTACTTTATCTGAGCGCAGATTTTATAGATTATACCCTTTGAAACCTTTTAAAGCCAACAAAAAATTACAGCCATAAATAAAAATGGTAAAAGTGTTATCAGCAAAGTGTTATCAGTGGCTTACATGTAACATGTTCTTACACAGATATTTCGAGTATTAAAATGGAGCCTCTTTTGGGGTCTTCCACAACATGTCACATTTAAGTCTAATACATATAATTTCAGCTCCCTCCTCTCCCGGTTTTAAAGTAAGAGCAATTTTTTTACATACGCCTTCTGAGGGACCATAACTCTGGTTCCCAGGTGCATCTCAGCTGTGATGTATGACACTCATATTACTGTGCCTGGTTGGCACCTCCTTTCTAGAGGAGTTCTTGGTGCACATTTATCAGTCTGGCGGTAGCCTCTTGGTGAAATGCCGGGTTTAAATTCAGTTCTGATTCATTTAAAATATACCAACAACATTTCTGAACTTATAAAAAAGGGGGCTTTATTGAAAGGCACTTACATTACTTTTGTTCAAGTATATTATACCAGCATTACCTTTCTGAAATGATGTGGCTTTTCTTCTTTTTTGAGAAACCATGTATTCTGCAGTCCAGTGATAAGTGAAAAACAGATTTTTCCCAAACTCCAGTACAGTATTAAAAGAAGGAAAGAATTATAGCATGTTTTAGAACATTCACATGATGAACTTCCTGGTTCAATAATATTCAAATAAAATGTTTAACACTCGTTCAGGTTCTAATAGGCTACACCTGCTGATGGAATTGCCTCAGCAGAATTAGGAGAGGGTGATCCCACACTATCTCTCCCCCCCCCCCATGTACTGCAGCCAACAAAACCTGCTTCAGAGGGCTGGAAACCACTTGGGACCGTTTTAGACTGCATGGGGCATGAGAATGGAAGAAAGGTCAGCCATCAATGTGACATCAGATTTTAGCCTCATTTCTCCAAGGAAACCATTAAATATGAAATGCTGGACCCATTTTATTTCCAAAATCAAACACATTAACTTTTTCTCATACAGCTATATTTGTACTTTCACTCCTACATGTATCTTCACACCCATGCTTTCCACCCTGGAAAGAGGCGGCTCAGATTCTTTGGGTCCATGGCCTGCTGTATGAGAAGGTTCACCTGGCCTCCCACGCTGAGCACGGTTCCCTCTTCAACTCCTTTCAGTTTCTCCTGAAGCCGCATCAGGACACGCTCTGCCACTTTATTAAATGTCTGATTATCCCCACTGAGAATAAGAAAACAGTTTAAGGAGCCCTGTAGAGGCACGCACTATTGATGAATAACTAATAGTAGAGTAGGGAGTAGACAGAGATCACTTACTTTGCTTTTTTCTTACTTTCTTGGTTATCAGCACCGAGACTGGAGCTGACATCACCCTCATCTTCTGGCCTTTGTTGCAGATACAATGCTTTTAAAGGGTTCATAGTCCAGTCAAAAAGAGGGTCATACAGAAGTACCTGGATATAGCACAACACAGATATGCATGTCGAAATGAAACAATTCAACACTCACTTTAGTAGGATTCCCACTAATCAAGAATGGTGCCCTTTTTGATTCATGATTTTTAAAAAAAGTATGATGGTTTAAAAGTAGAGATGGGCATGAACTACTGGTTCGGTGGTTCCCAGGCCCATCACCCAGAGGCAATGCCCAGAGGAGGCGGGGCAGGAAAGCCAGGTGCTACCTCTGAGTAGGTGCCAGCCAGAGGAAGTGGGGCTGAGAACTGTTGAACACCTGCTCGTCTGCAGGACAACCTGGCAAAGTAGTGGTTTGAGCCCATCATGAATAAGCTTATGGGGCTTTTTAAAAAGACAAATGAATTCCTTTGTTTTCATTTGCAGCCATGTAAAAACACATACCTCTACAATAGTGAGTAAAGCCTCTTGGGAATTTCTCATAACTGCCATTGTTTTTTCACAGCATCTATAAGATATTTTCAAACAAATACTAATTTTCAAACTACTCCCACAAACAATTGTGTCATAAAAGACTTAATTTTGCATTTGGCTCTCAATAGGCTACATGCTATGTTGCGATCAACACAGTATTCAAAATTTAGTTGCTGGGCAGTTAACTCAATAATGTGAACAGCCAGATCTCTGTTGCACTGAAATGCGTAGAAAAGAGACACAGTTGTACAATGCATACTTTACCTCCTGAAGACGCCCTCTATACCAGTGATGCCCATCCCATCTACTATATCTCTTGTAAGCCGGAAGGGTACAGTCTCTGGGGTAGGAAGGATTTTGCCTTGCTCAAAAGCAACACCTAACAAAGAGGAAAGAAAAAAAATTCTTAATACCATTGACAGAAGCAAAGTAAGTAAAATCTGAGTAGCTAATTCTATGCATACCTAGATCAATGTGTACAAGTTCCGCAGTCTGCTCATCTAACAGAATATTCTGCACATGTCTGTCTCCAAGACCAAGTATGTAGCCAACTGAAAAAAAGTTGTCCAAATGAAACCACAAGTATTTATTTATTTCATTAATTTATATACTGCCCCATTAGTGCAATACACTATTCTGGGCAATTAACAATCAATAAAATCAAACGATCAAAACAAATCAAAGGCACTGAAAATCTTACAAATAAAATTGAAATCATTAAAACTAATCCCAGATAGCGCAATACTTCATCATAAATTGGCAGGGCACAAGGTGAAAATTCATATGAGGCTGCAACTGAAAGCCTCTCTGAAGAGCAATGTTTTCAGCAGCCTCTTAAAGATGGGCAGGGAAGGGGCCAGATGCAGATCAACCACAAACTAGTTCCAAAGAGTTGGCACCACTGCCAAGAAGGCCTGGCTTCTAGTTTTTTTATTTATTTAATTTATTTATTGGATTTCTATCCCGCCCATCTAGACAAATGTCTACTCTGGGCATTTTACAAATTTAAAAACAAAAAAACATATATTATAGATGCAAAGTGGCAAAGATAGATCCAAAATAGCCAAGTTTTAAGTTTATTCCTGAAATAAACTTAATGTTTTTCTGGCCTCCTTTGGTGTGGCCACCTGGAGGAGCATTGCCTGGGAGGATTCTGGTGGTGTGGGTAGATGACCCTGGGGAAAGATGCTCTGCCAAGTAACAGGGTCCCAAACTATAGAAGGCTTTATAAGTGAGCACCAACACTTGACCTGGGATGTCACAGGTAGTCAGTGCAGGAGAGCCAAGACTAGGGAGGTGTGAACAAATTTACTCACACCCACCAGCAGCCTGGCAGCAGAACACAAACAGTAGAACTACCTCAACTGAAGAACTCTCTATAGATATTCCCTGTTGCATAATGCAAATGACAATGTCTATGGTGATTTCTTAAATTGAGGCAATTTGCCTCCAAAAGCGATGCCCCTACACAAGGGGGTTTTGGCTCGTGTTGATACCGCATTCTCCATCACAACCACCAGTCCTTAAGTGAAACAGGAACCTCCAAACTACTGGGATGCACTGAATTATGTAATGTTAATACTTGGGGGGGGGAGACATAGAAGGCTTCATTTCTATGGGAACTACCATATCATTAGATCTGAAAAAGTAAGGCTAATCAAAGCCTGCCAGAAAACGGCTAACTGTATTTTATGTTACCTATTGATGAAGTAGCAACACTTCGCGTATATGCCAACCTCTTCTCAAACCACACTGCTGGATCAAGAAATTTTTCCATGCAGAAATAGCGAAACACAGGTTGAAAATTCTGGCAAACGTCCATGAAGATGGCATATTTCTCTTCAAAATTTCTTTTTTGCGCATCCTTTGAAGGGAAGCACAAATAACTTAAAGCCAACATTTCTCTCCTGGTCAGTTTTGTCTAAAACTAAACTTGAAGACAGTATGAAAAATGCTTTCATTTTTTCTTCTTATGTACAGCTGTATGTGTAACAAATAGGCTAAACGACACAAAGCAAAAATACTAAAATATTTTCTTCCTCAAAATGATAATAGGTATGCAAGCAGGGTGTGTAGAAAATAAGCTAAAAACTGAAGTGAAATGTTACTCAGTATCCTGTTGTGTAGCTCCACCAATATAGTAGAATAATGTCACATTCAGCAGCAGATGGCATGAATTTGTCCCACTGTGCATTAGTTGCATGCAGCCCAGAATCACAGCAGGAACTCTTAATCACTGGCAGTCTGCTGCTGCTAGTGACATCATTCCTACTATCTAACTGGAGCTATGGACTAGAAGGCAGGCCTTCTATTCAATAGGTAGGGTACTGGATTTAGGAGTGTGGAAGGCCACACTGTCCAGTGACATATTACGTGGTGTATTTCAATGCCAGCAGAATTGGGACTTCCTTCCCCTCCTGATACAAGGACGTGGTGGCGCTGTGGGTTAAACCGCAGAAGCCTCTGTGCTGCAGGGTCAGAAGACCAGCAGTTGTGAGATCAAATCCACATGACGGAGTGAGCTCCTGTCGCTTGTCCCATCTCCTGCCAACCTAGCAGTTTGAAAGCATGTTAAAATGCGAGTACATAAATAGCTACAACCAAGGTGGGAAGGTAGCGGTATCGGGCTAGTCGCACTGGCCATGTGATCACGGAAACTGTCTTCGGACAAATGCTGGCTCTATGGCTTGGAAACGGAGATGAGCACCGCACCCTAGAGCTGGACACAACGGGACTAAATGTCAAGGGGAACCTTTACCTCTCCTCCTGATAGATACAGCACTATGGGAAGAATGAGTGGCCCCAGTGGCCAGGAAAGAGTAACCAAAATTGAACTGTGATTCTTCATAGGTGCAACTAATATGAAAGGTAAATAAAGAACCTTGGTAACCTATTGTGTCAAAATTTGCTCCACAGGATTCCAAGTCCTTGAAAGCATGTTTTTAGGGAGCATAGGGAGCTGGAAGATGGGGCGGCAGCAGGATGACTATTCTGATGGAATCAGGCAAGGATGCCATCAGAACTTAGCATGAGATTCAAGCCCCTGCTCAGCCAAGACACTCACTGGATAACATTCGTTTATCCTAACCTATCTCATAAAGACCCTAAACTACCCTTGAAGAAAGACAGGATACAAATAATACAGTTGTGGCTATAATTGTTTTCTGCTACAGCTGAAATGCATATATTTCAACACCTATGAATGGGACCTGAATGAATGAACACTACATATGACTCTTTGAAGAGTTTTTTCTCAGTTGTGCTGAAGAAAGCAAATTCTATTCATCTACCTGGCTCCATGACCCAGTGTTCTGCACTCACACATGGAGAAACATTACATTAAATATTAAAACAGCAAACAAATTATTCATCTTTTTCTGACTCACCATCATTTTCCTCTGGCAGTCTAAGCTGCTGTAATCTCTTGGCCTGTAACGTCTATGAGCACAGTTCTCTGTATTGATGAGGAATTCACCCAGAGGTATTGTTCCTGTACACCACTCTAAGACACCACTTCTCTGAGAGAGGGGAACCACCTAAGAAATAACCAGACATAATGTTAACAAGCCTACTTAACTATGATTAGTTCAAATCAGGTCTCTTTGTAAACACAGGTAGCACAACTTGGTTCAAACCATGGTTACCATCTCCAGTTTATATGAGGCCTCCAGTCTGCACCAGGGCAGATGCTTATGTGGAACTGTGTTGTCATTAAAAGGAGAAAAGAGGAAGAAAATCTCTCTAGGAGAAAAAAGCATGTGCTCATGACACTAACTCAGAGTTTTCAAACTGTGGATTGCAAGGAAAGGACAAATTATCTGCTCAGTGTGGAACGCTGATATTGCCTGCAGAAGATGCCAGAGTGAATTCCCAGAAATATCTCAAGAAAAAGATGCTATGAAAGATTTAGACTTAAGAGGGCCACAGCCAGCCAGTCAAGGATATACATACTAAGCTGTCAGATCACTTCTCTGACCACACGGGGCAGCTTCATATGATGGAAGCAAAGGGTAAAAACTCTGCAGCACAAGCTTTGCAAACAGAAAATCAAGATTTAATTTCTGTCATCTCCAGTTAAAAGGATACTAGTAGTAAGGATTAGGAAAGAGTCACTGCCGTGAATTGACTGTACTAAGGCAGTTGGATAAATAGTTTGTTTTTATAAGGCAGCATCATTATAAAGGAGTCCACATGACTCCCTTTCCCAGGATACTTTGGTGCAACTGCAACAAAGCTTGCCTTGTATCTGCGGATAGTTAGTTTCCTCTTCCTAGTTTCACTATTTTCCTGGAGCAGAGTATTGCACATCTGGAAAACCTGCTGCATGACAGCATCCTGTCGCAGGTCATCACGGCCCTTTAAGAGACATGAGAAATTATCACTTGTTATCACAATGGAACATTAACATAAAACAGAAGACCAAATAAATAAATAAATTCTGTGTGATCACTAAATTTTTTTTTTTTACTCTGGAGCACTGTTGAGCTTGCCAGGGAAATGCAGCAAGGGTGGCTGATGAGAACAGCAACCAATCACAGAACAGAAAAATCTCACAGCCTGTGACTGGTTGCTGTTCTGATCAGTAATAGATTTAAGAAGATGAATTAAAAAAAACCACAGAAAAATAATATCGCATCCACTATGATTCTTTGGCTCTCTCTGATAAGCTCTGCAATGCTCAGTCTCTAGAAGAGTTCTGCAGGACTCAAAAACTCACCTGGCTTTTACTACTTTAGCAGTCTATAAGAAAGATGTGACCTGTCCTCTTTTTTTTTTTAACAAATACAAAAGTAACTCACACAGCCTGCCTTATGCATGTTTACTCAGAGGCAAGTGGAATGTGCACACACATAAATGGTCACAGGCAGCACCCTTAAACAGCAGGGAAGTCCTGCACAAATCACTCCATCCAAGACAAAGCTACCACATTATGCATAGTATTACTGATAGATCTGTTCTCACGATATACCTTTTATTTTTGGAGTTGCTCAAAAGCTTGGAAATACTTAGCAAATCTTGTAAATACCGGTAACACACCAATGAAAAGCACTAGGAACAATTGTCCTTGCATTCATCACAGCATCAGTTGCCAATTAATTTTCCACTCTTTTACTTTCCAACTCTGAAGCACTAGTGTCATGAAATAAAACTATTTTGAAACAGTGCAGCCATGAAAAAGAATGTCTTAGAAGAAAATCTGTATGTCTGAACAACATCTAGGGGCCTGCTCAGTATTTAAGACCATAACTTCTCAATTTGATGGAGTGAGACTTGAAATAAGCCTAACAAACTAAGAGATTGGTTGTTGTGGGTTTTTCGGACTCTTTGGCCATGTTCTGAAGGTTGTTCTTCTTGATGTTTTGCCAGTCTCTGTGGCTGGCATCTTCAGAGGACTGGAGTAGGAACTCTGTCCATCTGTCATGGACAGAGTTCCTACTCCAGTCCTCTGAAGATGCCGGCCACAGAGACTGGCGAAACATCAGGAAGAACAACCATCAGAACATGGCCAAAGAGCCCGAAAAACTCACAACAACCATTAGAACCTGGCCGTGAAAGCCTTCGCGAATACATTAAACTAAGAGATTGCAATAGAGGTTCAGTCTTCTCCATTCAGTTGACAACTTTCTCTTTGTTTGTAGTATTTCATGTTAGTCCAACACACCTTAACAAGTTGCCTCCTCTCTCTCCCATCTGATCCAACACAGTCTATTATTTTTGGTAGATTAACGCCTCCTGCTAGGCGAAATTCTGGGTTAAATGACCTCACTGTAACCAAATTTTCGTATTTTCCACTGGGATCCACCTGTAACACAAAAAAACCTTTATGCTGTTTAATCACGATCAATACTGCAATACTATCTACTATGATGCACTGTTCAAGACACATTAAAGCCCCTGAAATGACTGTGTGAGAGCTATTACTGAGATAAGGAATCAATTTTGTTTACCTTAATTTCCATGGTCGGAACAACAACATTATCTAGATTCTTCAGCTTAGTAATAGGTTGGTCAGAAGGGATGCGTATCGCCTCTGCAAAAACAGTATGTTCTGTTTTCAGTACAATATTAATATTAAACACACACTGCTGCACAATCCACTCCCAAGAACAATGAAAGGCCATGGACAGTACATTAGGCTACGAACAAGCTGTTTATACCATTTGTCTGATACAGCTGAATGTATTCCAGAGATCTGAAGAGCTTTCTGCCCATTATATTTTAAAATGAGTTTCCTGTGCTGTTTCAATAAACAGATAGTCTGTCTACACAAGTGGACATAACTAGAAAACTAACACCTTCATAGTATTTTACAAAGAAATACCCTGGTCTTTCCCAGTTACTGGCAAAGGAAAAGAGAAGAGAAGAGAAGAGAAGAAAGGAGGGGTAAAGGCAGAATATTGTAGCACTTTAAGAACCATTTCATCTCAGTGTGAATTTTTGTGGATCAGAATGCCTTTCCTCTGACACAATTAGTGGAAATATTACATTCTCTGTATCGATACAGGTCTTCATGACTAGATGAGGACTCAGGCATTAGACAAAATGGCCGTGAAAGTCTTTGAGAATACATTAAAATGGCAATGGTTTGTTCACACAGGAATAAGACAATCAGGCTGTAGATTCTGGCCAGCGTGATGGACTTGTCTGTCACAGGAATGATAAAATATCTTTCTGGGACAGAAGTCAGAGTCGATCAATGGAGAAAACTCTTTTATGCCCATAAGATATTACAGAAAACTGGGTTATTAATATATGCAAGTAGCTAAGAAGCTTTGATCTGCATTGAGGCCCTTAGTGAGACTTGGTTATGTTGCCAATTTCTGCTGTTTCCCTCTTGAGTTTCCTTTCATAATTCCTTCTTTTCTACAACAGCCACTTGGGGATTGCATAAAAGAGTTCCCTAGGAGGCTGAAGTGTTCTGAAACTGGTGTCTCTGTGCTGCCAATCCTGATGGCAGATTTGTCTCCACTTACTCATTTGTACAAAAATTGTTCAGCTTGTCCCACATAGAAAGCAGAGGGGCACTGCTGGCAGAAGATGGCATAAATCACATTAGAGAAGGATCAAGTACTTCAACGCCTGATGTTGTGACTGACACTGATGGGACTTTGATGACATCGCCGAATACGTAGATATGTGAGCACAACTGGCATCTAGGTTAGTGACAGGATATTATTCCTGTCTGTCCCCCCCCACCAGCCAGGACCTGACAACTGAAGCATTTAACACCTCTGTGTTAATGAACCATTGTCACTTTGCCTCTTGTCTGTGTCTTCATTCGGTCATGTATAAATATGAAATACATACAGTATTTGCAATCCTTTTGTCTAAGGAAGTGGATTCTAATTCATGTAAGCTTACACTGAAATAAAGAGACATAGCCTATGAAAATAAAACTTAGAAGAGCTACAATATTTTGCCTCTTTTCTTTTCCTCTTCTTTCACCAACCTTTCTAGCACTCAGTCCTCTAAGACATTAAGTTCAAAATAAAACACTATGGAGAAGGAAACAGATACTTTGCATAAAATTAGACTACAGCTTAAACTGGAGATGATGAGTCCTTTTAATTACAACCAACCACCACAACGATCCATACTCCCTCAGCTCTTACTTCTGTGCGTTTTCCAGGGACTCGCATCCATGTTTGCTAAAGTGATATAAGAATCACAAAGGGTTTCAACATTTGTCACCATATCAGCTCTTTTCTTTTTTATAATGTTAATTATATTGCTGGCGGCCTCCATTCGATCCTAAAAATATTTTGTTTAAAAAAAAAGAAGAAGAAGAGAGAGAAGAAATACTCCTTAAACATAAACTTATACATATTTCAGATTAACTAATTCACATATTGAAAACAAAGGTGGATTAGGAATTTGGTCAAAACTCAGTGGGCAAATTCAACATTTATTTCTTTATTTAAAATGTTTTTACCCTGCCTTTCGCCTTTAAAATATCGGAAAACAATTACAACGGAAACACAAAACTTTTTTCACAGCCAAAAATTTGCACAAAACAGAAATCAGGAAAAATACCATATCAAGCAGGGAAGCTTCTTTCGGTGTGCTTTTGGTGAGTCTGCTTCTTCCAGGAGCTTCTGGTTTTGTCAGGAGTTCATCTTTGTTGGCATTTGCCAGGGCCAAGATTATAAACAGAGTATGATGTGGATGGTCTAGAGAAATTCTCGCTATCAGCTATTAAAATAAGGAGATTAGAAACATTTTCAAAGAGACAGCTAAAATGCGTAGCTAAACTTTAAAACAAGCAAGTAACATTCAACAGCAATGATCAAAATGATTTAGTTTTTCACCAGCCTTCCTGACAAATGCCACATTCACTCAGGTGGATTTATTAGGACAGCTTTTGCATGGGTGCAAAACATGCGGCATCTGAGTCACTTTAATCTTCTCTCAGCTATTTTTATGTATCTGAGTTGCATATACTTTGTTTGCAAAGCTAACAACAGTTCTAGAAACTAGCTCTTCTGCCATTTGGCTTCAATAATACCAATAATATGCACAAGTTCTATTTCTCATTATTTCTAATAAGCACTGCTTTTACTGGGGTCATTGTTTTTTGTTTGTTTTACCTGAAAGGCTAATTGTACTTTGTAGTTTTAGAAGAGGTAGCCATGTTATTTTGTGCTAGCATATCAGGCCAAAATAAAATAAAAAATAAAAAAAAAATATAAAGATGACAAAAAACTTGTGGCACCTTAAAGATTTAATATAAAGGTGACAAAAAACTTGTGGCACCTTAAAGATTAACAAGTCAACTTCCTCAGACAAGGTGCCACAAGATTTTTGTCACCTATTTCCCCCCTGCTGTTTCAGATTAGATTTCTAGAAGTACTATTGTACATGTGCTCTCCACATTCCTTTTTTCGCTAGAAGAAGAGTGAATGTCCACTACTGTAGCTGCAGAAATCTGGCCCCTTGCAGCCGCGGAGGACAATTTTGGTCTTGGCCTATGGAAACTGCCCACTTCATGCTAAGGAAGTCAAGTTTGCAAGCCAAGGGAAAAATAGGTGAAGAACCCTAAGGTGCCAACTGTCCTCAAAGGAAGAGACTCTCCTCATCCCCAGCCAATAGCACTCTTCAGCCACAAGCTGAGACAAGTATATTGGGCTGGTGGTATTTTGTTGAAGGCCCTGCATGTTTATATCCAATTTTGAACAAGTTTCTTATACAGTACAGTAATCTACTTTCTGAGATGATGTCAGATCAGTTCAAAACCAGCAGCAAAAAATTAAATGAGTAAAATACGATGCTACACAAAAAGATTTACATCTTTGAGCATTTCTATGTAAATAAAATTTGTTTTTCAGAACACACAAAATGCATTTCTATGTTAAGTGAAGCGTCTTAGCTGAAGAAGAATTACATTGTTCAAAATCGGATGAAATCCAGTCGTCTTGGTTCCCATTCGAGCAGCCAGTTGATACATCAGAGGCAAGAATTTGTACGACGGTATTTTCCTCGCCTCCTTCTGTTTTATGGCAGAAGAGCATGTGATAAAGAAGGGAAACAAAGGAGTAAAAAAGCCTTTAGTGGTTTAACACACTGTACACAGGTACAGATGGGATTACATTGTCGGATATTTTTATAAAGCATTAAGATTGTCAGACACAACTGCCTATTATTTTGTTATAGTATCTCACATCATGTCACTCACAGACAGCTGGAAGGGAAAGCCCAAAACATGAACATGTGGAAGAGTTTTTAACCCTGACTATACTGAAAACTAACTCTAATTTCTACTTCACCAAAAGCTAGGAGGAACCTGATTTTGCTATAGAAATACTGAAGTAACAAAGGTGCAGTGAGACTAACGTGCATCATGGCATTGACTTCAGCAATTCCAGAGTTCTCCAGCCAGAGAGAGCAGAGCCGGAAGATCCACATGTCATGCTCTTCCCCACTCAATAAGCAGCTGATGTAGTTCTCAATGGCTTTGCACAAGAAACGTTTACGATCCTCTCCCAGGGCACGAATTGCACATTCGTCAAGTTCCAGTTCCCGTTGAACTTTGACCGTATATCTTTGAAACAAAAATGTAGAAATACCATCACATGTTTAAACTGACAGATGCTTTCTTTCCTTTAAAAAAAATGTTTCACTGTGCCATAACAAATGTATGTTCTACAGCTACAATGATCTGAGTTTTCTGGACAGCACAATTAAATCAAACAATTGAAACAGCACAAAAAGGCAAAAAACAAATATCTTCAATTAATTCGCTTCACTTTTTCCTAAGAAAGCATACAATGAACTACAGCCAGGTGACCAGCAAGCTTACAATTTGCTAACCAATTACCAGCCCTCTCTTAACTTGCCTTCAATGGAGTAGTGATATGACACTGCCATGAGACCTACCTGTTGGCCTGAACCTTGTGCTCCCTTAAAAGGCCAACTTCTTCCTTGGCTTTTTTCAGTAAAGCTTGCTTATTCTCAAACTCTGATGACTTCATATAGTTCTCAATTCTTTGATACTGGGTGTCCGAATAACGAGCCAGAGACAGAAAAGCCTTCATCTTTGCATTTTTTAGCTCATCGCTGCTGTTCACAGTTTGATTCCCAGCAACTTCTACAGCCTACAACCAAAGTTATAAAAAAAATAACAAGCCTTCCAATCAGCAAATAACAATTTGCGGACCAGATAGGCGGGATATAAATCAAATAAATAAATAAATAAATAAATTGTTTAACAATAGAGCAAATAAAATGGCCAACATAATTTTCTTTGCAAAAGTTGATCCCAGCTTCCTTACCTTTTCCAAGTAGTTCTGCATAATAATGGTAGGATTCTCTAAACAAGTCTCTGCTAACCAGCTTCCACATAATCTCAGACATTCTGTGTAAATTAACCTCAGACTTGGATCTTTCTCAACCTGTGAAAAATATATTCATACAAGTCAGACATACTCACTAATATGTAAAATGACTCCTTATCAGAAATGTTAACTCGTTATTTTCAATTTTTACTGAAGTTTAAAAAAAAGCTTTGGTCCTTCTAATACAAGTATGTCACAGCATGAGATTTTGTACTTGTGTTTCCTCAGAACAGAACAAATGTTTAAACGGGTTATTGAGTGAAAAGAGCATTAGAAGTACCATATTACCTTGAACCAATCATCATCCAATTTCTTTATCATCTCCTTTAGAATACTCAGAGCTAAACTTTCTTCCTTTTTAGCCCAGAAAACCTGAGCTTCCTCTAGCTGCCAGGCAGATACTCCATGTCCAAAAGGACTGTACTGCTTAATTTGAAATACTGCTCTTTCTGAAAGCTGAAAAACAGACAGGTAGACAAACAAAAAAAAAGAGTTCATATATTGCTCCTGTTTTTGAAACATGATTCAAACCTTCATACTTCTGGAACCCAGTATTAGTTTATGCTAGTTGTAATATATTCCTGAAAGAATTCAGTGTTTATGTATGTACCTTTTTAAAGAATGCCTCAGTGTTTATAAGTTTGTTTATATATGTTTATAGATTGTGTTGTGGTGATGTAATTCCATGATGCCTCACTATTGGTTAAACTGTACAACTATATAATTCCATCGCATATCCCTGGGTAGCTAACTAAACATTAAATAAGAAAGCTAGATCAAATATTTATTTATTTATTTATTTGATTTATACCCTGCCCATCTGGTCTAATTTGCAAGCTAATTAAAATATATTTGTAAGCAAATACCATGTTTCCCCAAAAATGACATGGTCCTATATTAATTTTTGCTCCAGAAAATGCATTAGGGCTTATTTTCAAGGGATGTTTTATTTTTTTCATGTACAACAATCTATTCAAAGACAGTCATGTCATCTTCTTCTGGTTGTGGGGGGGGTTCCACTTAACTGGGGCTTATTTTTGGGGTAGGGCTTATATTATGAGCATCTTGGAAAATCATACTAGGGCTTATTTTCAGGTTAGGTCTTATTTTTGGGGAAACAGGATAGCTTCAATTGGATGAAGTGTTTGGGTAAATATTGCATATTGAAGCAGATTAAATTCCATTTGTAGTAGAATGTAAGCAGTTGAACCATGTAAACTGATGATTGAAAGGACATATATTGTACTGTCCAAAGCAAAATGATAGCGATCTTCATATGTTTTAAAGGCAGCCATGTGGAAGATGGAACAAACATTAGGAAGCACTTTTTGATAGTAAGAACTCTCTGACAGTAGAATGGATTGCCTCAGAACAGCGGTTCCCAACTGTGGGTCCCCAGAAGCCTTCACTAACTGTGCTGGCCAGGATTTCTGGGAGTTGTAGTCCAAGAATATCAGGGGGCCCCCAAGGTCAGAAACCACTGCCTTGAAAGATGGTGGACTCTCCTTAATTGGATGTTTTTAAAGAAAGCCTATTTGGGTGCAACACTCAGACTGTCTTACCTGTGTATTTTTTGCCACCCGAGCCAATCTGGACAGCTCCACAAGATGTTTGGTAAGGACCTCTTTAATGCATTCCCGTTTGGCATTTTCACTTTCTTTTCCCAGTAGCATGTTCAGAATGACTGTGCGCAGAGCCATGATGGGCTCCTGGAAACTGAAGTCACTATCCTGGAGAAGTTGAGACTGCCTCTGCCACTTCAGATACATGCCAGTCAGCTGGCTATTTGTAGCAGATCTGAAAGCAAGAGAAAGTATGAATCTGACAAAATAATTACTAGGACAATAGCTAGACACAGGCCTGACTGAGGTCTCAAACTTTTGTAAAAACACAACAGAAAGCAAGTAGACAAATCTCTCTTTCTTTCAAAACAAAACAAAAACCAAACCAAACCAAAGCAAAACAAAAAACCCAGCATATGAAGGGCTTTACATGGGTTTAGGATTAGTAATAACAGTATTTTATGCACATATCATGGTTTGATCCAGAGTGAAGGTAGGATGAAGGAATGGAATTAACAATCTCCATACAAATGTTGCTATTCTAAAAAAACTACATGCAGATTGAGAACTGAGCCACAGCCAGAATTCTGTTTGTGTTAACATAAGGCTTGCAGAACTTGCTGCACACAAGTGACAAGACACCTGGGTGCAAATGGCTTCACTAGATTTTGTCCATTCTCTAAATCTGTATGATAAACTCAATTCAGATTCCTCAATTATTTGGTTCTGAACAATCATGTTTGAAGAAAAGTTTCTCAGACTTACAACCCAGTCTTAAAACTGGAGGCACAAAACAACATGTTCTCACTGTATTTTTGTTCCTCTGGAGTCTTTTAGACTCAGGTATTTCAAGGGGTACCCAATGTATTCACACATACTGGTTTTATACTTGTACAAGGATTTTATTTAAAATCTTCCAGAACTAAGTTATGAGGCTGGAACATAATTCTCCCCCATAGATGACACACAGAGATCAAAAACCCAAATATGTGATGCGCAGGGGCCAGAAATGCAATTGCTTTGGCTGAAACCTCTCAAGAAACATACTTATCGTATTTTTCTGTTTATAAGATACTCCCCCTTTTCTAAACCCCCAAATTAGAAAATTTGCACGACCGCACCCCTTTGATCCTGGTGCCCTTTCACAGCTGCATTACCCACTTTCTAAGCCCCCGTGGGGCTTAGGAAGTGGGTAACGCAGCCATGAAAAGTGGCAGGAACACGCTCAAACCCCTTTGATTCTGGCGCCCTTTCACGGCTGCGTTACCCACTTCCTAAACCCCACGAGGCAGGGAAAAGCGGCTGCCTTCCGTGTAAAACAACCCTCAATTTTTTGTCTAATTATTTAAGTAAAAAGTGTCATTTTATACACGGGAAAATACGGTACCTAGTGTGAGACAGAAGGCGAGAGGGATACCCCACTTGCTGGAGAGCCATCCCTTCCCCACAACAAGGATAAGGAGGAGAGATCCCAGCCAGCACCAGAGCCTGCGGCAGAAGCTCAGCAAGAGACAGAAATAGAGGAGCTGACCAAAGAGATACAGAGAGTAACGATGAGAGAGGTTCAGGAGGAAAAGGCAGGAAAGGAGAGGAACAAGAGGGTCGAGTTTGAGTCAGGAACAGGGGAGGTAAAAAGGAGAGTCAGTTGCTACCCGTTTGGGAGTGGGTTTGGATGGAGGATCCCTGAACGGGATTATGAGAGAGTCTGAGAGTGCCTAAGGAGGAGGCGGATTACAGTTAAAGAGGAGGTGGATTATAGAAGGAGAAGGGAGATCCCACCCAGCCCCTCTTATTGGGGAGAAGCCGAGGTTATAGAGTGGAGGAGGAGATTGAGAGAAGAGAAAGAGAGAGTGGAGAGAGAAAGGAGAGAAAGGCTGGAATGGAGAATAAGAGAGATGAGAAAGAAGAGTTACAGGGAGGACCCTGGGAGAACTGAGACCCCGAGAGACGAACCCTGTGGAATGGCATTTGGGATGACGAGACTGTGCCCTTGCTGGAAGTTTCGACGGGGTAGACTGTGAGAGACTGGGTCCCCAGCGATTTACCAGGACCATGGGAAAATAGTTATGGTATCCTGTTCCTGTTTTGACGATTGGAAGCCCCTTCTGGACCCACTGGCAGAAGGAGAAAAGACTCACAATCATGTTACAGACACTTGTTTATTGTTAAATGCACCGATAAATTTGTCACCTGTTTTGAAGCAACAAAAATCTACCGATTTCTTTGAACTGAATGTGGAGCCAAAAGTCAAACCCTCACACATAGCTCCACAAAACACTGTATTATCTCAGACCAGATTATTTGTGTTGTGTCAGGTACACAGACAGAAATTATTGAGAATGTCCAGATCTCAGTTAAAAGAACATTTCAGTTAGTATTATTTTTCAAAATATTTTGTCATTAGTAATATCATCTACATCCTACCTTTTCTAAAAAGCCAGCAATTTAAATTCTAGTAAGATTTATAAGAAGGAATGCAGATCGGGGTCATGAGGCACAAAAGAAAATCATTATTTGCACAGGGCAAATGTGTAAACACATCCAGAGAAATAATATTATGAAAAGAAGGCATGGGAAGAAAGAGTAAAATACCCAGAGAAAAGCTGTCCGACACACTCAAGCTCTCCGATGGTCTGTAGTCTGCATAGTGTAGGTAGCAATGAATACACAGACTCAAGACTACCTTTAGACAGATCTTCCACTTCCTTGATTCTTTGAATGCAAAAAAGAAACATTATTATTACTCTCTACTAATCCATTTCAAATCCCACAAAAACAACATTCAGAAATTATAAAGGTATTGCAGCATGCCATGTTTAGGCAAAACATACATTTTATTAGAAAGACAAAAAAGAACACCCATGCATAAAAACCTCTCTGTGAAAAATAAGGCTAGAGCTGGAAAGGACTTTATGGATCATCGAGTCCAGACCATGTCAAGGAGGCACAGTGAGTCCCTACCTCAGACTCAGCAGATATTTAAACCACTGAGCTATCCAATAGAAATAAAAGAGCATTTTTTGAATTATGTATCAAGTTGCACACCATATTATATGAGAAGGGGTGAACAGTTACTTTATGGGAGCAAACTTCTTTTTAAAGTTAATTTACTCCTTGGCTCCGTCAACTCTATTTCCTCTCTTAAAATTAATACTATATCTCTAATATTCCAGATTTTTGTCTCTTAAGGTTCATATTGCCCCGTCGTGCCTTAAAATCTATTCATCAGCAGCGGCACAGACATTTCAAAATATGAAGCAATGATTATTATTTGTGCATATTTTACTAACATTACAACATGATAACATTTTATTCTGTTAACAGCACATATAAGAAATTCTGTAGAAATATTCAGAGTTTACTATTTACCTTGCACACTTCAGTCTTTCATAAAATGTAGAGAATTCTTTGTCCTTTAAACATTGCAGAGCATCATATAATGATTCATGGTACCGCTTTTCTCCGATGTCATCACTTCAAAGACAACAAAATTATATTTGTACTTAAACATTGTATTAAACTGGTCTCTATTACAGTAGATATTAAACAGATTTAACAACAGAACTCAGATAAACCTCTTTCTTAGGTAAAAAGCTAGAAATATGTAGCATGATCAAATCTGAATATAAATTTATTATAATTTAAATGAAAGGAAAATTTGCATTACCTGGCAGGAAAAAACTGATCCCATTGCATATTCCTCCAAGCAGCCTGATAACGAATCTCTTGTAGTTCCATTGAATATTCATGATTTTCCTGTTCTAGTCCTTTTAAGTAGATGGAGAGTGTATCACATAGACCAAAATTCTGCAAGGCCTATAGATCAGTAAGAGATGAGATTAATATCCGAATACTGTAATCTGGTTTGCTTTCTGAAAATACCAGCTTTACTCACAGGAACATATTTACTAGAAGTTGTGGTCCTAGTGGGTTTATTTTATCTTAAGTTTAGGTTCAGGGAAAAATATAACTTAGATCATCAACTCTTCACAGCACCACAGCCAAAATCACTTTCTGCACAGCATAGGCTACCATGATTATCTATATATGCAGGCTCCTCTACTACTTCCAATCACAGACACCTGCATACTCCCCACTGATCAGAGATTAGAAGTAAAGATGAATTCTTTCTTAACTGATTCATTATCAATAGTGCTAACCTCTGAGAAATTGGCCAGACCTCTATGTGAAATAGATCCCAAGTTCTGCCATAAAAGAGGCCACTGAAAAAGCCAAATACTGAAGAAGATACGTAGACCATGATGAAATCCTAGCATTTCAGCAGGACTGGTTTTTAATAATTGTGTTCAAACTCTTTTAGTGGCCACAAAATGAACAATATTTCTCCTTGAACAAATTGGCAAAGCAACTACTAATGATCAAAACAATAAAATCCTCTTCAATAAAAACCAGTGCCAGATTACCTCCATTCTTGTTTCGTAATGAGAGTTACCTCTATTATTCCTGCTTGTCGAGTTAATGGTGGAAGACTTCTTTCTAAGTCATAAGTTACCAGGGCTTTCCCCCATATAGCTTCATGTTCATACGTTCTTATTCTGTTACAGAAAAGATAGTATTATCATTTCTAACATATTGTCTTCAGATATAATTATTGATTTTCAAATTGAATTAATACCTAGCTAATGGCTGCAGCACTCTTCCTCCACCACAGCCATAGATACTGTCTGGTTCTCCTATACTTCTGTATATATCCATGAGAAGGTCCTAAACGTAACAGAAGATAGTTAAGTGATAATTTTCTATTCTGTATAGTATGGCTATCAGTAGAAAGTATGTACAGTGGTGCCTCGCACAGCGAGGTTAATCCGTTCCGGATTAACCCTCGCTGTGTGAAAGCATCGTTGAACGGGGCAGGAAAAGCCATTGGAACGCATTAAACATGGTTTAATGCGTTCCAATTGGGTCGAATACTCACCGTTCAGCGATGCTTTCCTATGGCCAGCAGCCATTTTCGCACCCTCCCCTCGCTTAACGCTGCGCGCGGCCATTTTGGGGCTTCCGGCGGCCATTTTGTAGCCACGGAACAGCTGATCGGCGGGTCGCAAAGCGAAGGTCAGTAAGCGAACCACTTACCGACCTTCGCTCTGCGATTTTCGCCCATTGGGGCCGTCGCTCTGCGATCGCATTAGCGATCGAAAAAACGTCCACGTAGAGCGAATTCATTGCTCTACGGGGCGCTCGTTGTGCAAGACACCACTGTATTACATACTGGTCTTTGGCTATTTTATAAAGTTTTCGCACAGAGAGACAGCTGACTTACAGCAAGGGTGGGGAACTTTTTTTGGAGGGGGGGTTACATAGGTCCTGTACCCCAACCCAAATATTGATGGCATGGTACCAGAAGATGTTCTACTTTTTTCCCCAACATAACCAATGGGGAAGCTTCCAGAAAGCACAAACCACCTTAAAACCAAGGAGTTTGCAGCGGTGGCAAAACACCATCAAAAAAGTCATCTGCAAACAGTAGTTCAGTAGAGGGAACAGCAGTGAGCAGGGTTACATGTGGGAATCTATGGGCTACATTTTACCCCACTAATTTTACAGTATTCAGCATAAATTATATTCTTTGCAGGTGCAAGATCTGGACCCACAGAGAGCATACAAGCTATATTCAGAGCCAAATACAACACTTTCCTTCTATGCATAAAGGCCAGGATCCATCTTTTTGATGAACCTGGCAAACTGTTTTCAAGACTGAGGGAGTTTCAAAAACAGGTTCTGGTGGTATAAAGGTCTGTTGTCCAAATAAGTAAATTTCAAAATTGTAGTGGCCTCAACACCTTACCGGACTGCCATTAGATTGTACAGTCAACATGGGTAAATGGCCGTAACATGCACAAGGCAAAAGACTCTAGGCTACAATATTCCTTCCACTCCTAGAACTCAAAAGTATTAAAATAGTTCCAGAGCATCATCTTTCCTATGAATCACAATGAAATCTGAGGCCATACTTCCAAATACTCTGAAATTTATAGGGCCTTTCAAAGTCAATAATTTAATTTATGGAGGTCAGTGGGGGTCATAACACTGTTGCCCATGAATCACATGCTGGCAGTCTTAAAACATTTCTCTTGGTGAAACAGTACAATTTCTTTGTGCTGAACATAAAGTATACCTGCAAACTTATCCCAGTTTCTTCTCTACTCTTGACACTCAAACAGGTTAACGTTGAATTCTGACTTTCTTCCTCAAATGTTAGACGTGCAACTGCTTTGGAAGTAGACCTAAAGAAGAGAAGTGCCAAAGCTGGATATACATTTTATCCATCCTTTAAGAAATGGTCTCCATCAAAAAGTTGTTGCTACTGTATGAAGCTATGAGAGATCCCAATAATAATCATGTGTTGTCAAGTCAATTCAGACTTATTGTGAGTTTTTTCAGGGTTTTCAAGGTAGAGAATACGCAGAAGTGGTTTACCATTCCTTTCTTCTGGGGGCATTCTGGGACTGTGCAGCTTGCCCATGGCCATATAGGCTGGCTTTTCTCCCTGGAAGCACAGTGAAGAATCAAGCTCTCAAACTCTGACTCTGCAGCCAAATACCTAAACCACTGGTTCTTAACCTTGGGTTACTCAGGAGTTTTGGACTGCAACTCCCAGAAGCCTTCACCACCAGCTGTCCTGACTGGGGTTTCTGGGAGTTGCAGTTCAAAAGCATCCGAGTAACAAAGGTTAAGAACCACTGACCTAAACTACTGAACTATCCAACCAGCCTTATGAGAGGTTCTGGCACTGCCCAATTTCTTGGAGTAACTGGTTGGATGTCCTTAAGAAAGTATGTCCCATCATCATCCTAACGGAAGCTGGATAACTATATGCTTTTAAATAAATCATTTTGATTTACAGTATTTTATTTTAAACTATTATTTTCATGAGATTTAACAAACAGCAATAGGACATTCTAGTACTGTATATAATCACAATGACTTTAGTGAGGTATTTTACTGAAATTAATGGTCAAATCCATGGTTTGCTTTTATCTAAAAGCTATATTTTAACAACAGATACGTTCTAATGTGCAAGGAAAACTATATCAAGTACCACTGCAATTCCTCCACTGCCAATGGTTAAAAAGAACATTGAGTCAAATGCATTTTCCATGTACATGTACAGGACTGGCCCAAGACATACAGAAGCCAAGGGCAAGCCAGTATCTTCACCTCCATTCCATGCACGGAAACTGACAGGATACGAATACCCATCTTACTTCAGCACTGGCTTCAAACAGATACAGCAACTAGGAGCAGCAGACTAGCTTGTGGGAATACAGAAACCATGTGGCATACATAGCTTTGTCCTTAACAGAAGGGAACAAACAGTAAGTTCAGAAATAAGAGTAGGGAAGGACGGCTGCTCTTGCTCCATCCTACACCCAGCATCTGCTAGTCAGGTAACCATCTCACTTTGCCTAAGAGTATTTATTTATTTGGCTTTCACCCCACCCATCTAGATTCAAACAAATCTACTCTGGGCAGCTTACAGTCTGAGCAATATAAAACAAGAATTAAAACAGACAATATCCAAACAAAAAAGGAAAGTAAGCAAAGTCCAAGATGGGAAAGCACAGGGAACCAAGTGATGGAAGAGGGGAAGGTCTGCCTGAAGAACCAAGTCTTCAGATTGTTCTTAAAAACTCCTATCGAGGGTGCCAGGCGAATCTCAGGGGGCAAGATGTTCCCTGAGGGGCCACCACTGAGAAGGCCCGGTTTCTTAGGGGTACTGCTTCAGGGTATGTAGTGGTATAATCTATAATAAATAGGATGAATCTATCTCCTCTTCTAGCCATTCTCTTTCCAGACCTCTCTCGGGGTCAAGCCCCTCAGTAGGGCCAGTCCCACACATCCACGAAAGCTATTGTTTTGATATGAAAGTGAATATGCTGCATTTGACATTAGTACCTTTCTTGCTGTTTGACTAAGTTTATCTTGTCAGCATAGATTTCTGCATACAGCAAGGCTGTGAAGTGAGCAGCGCAGGACTGGGCTACCATGGCAATCTGAAGATAATTCAGATCCAACCAAAAGCTGTCATCAAAGACAGTACTTGAAGGATTTCTGGGGAAAACAATTAAATAAAAACACATGTGCCTTAATTAAAAAAACTGGTTCAAATTGAAAGAGATTATTATTACACCTGAAGACTTCACTTTCCTGACATAAAAACTTGTAAAAATCGCTAGATATAGATAATTAAGAATTGTCAAATGACTAGTCAGTTGACTAAATTTAATCAACAAATACAATCCTAAGCAAAACAAGTAACTATTAATGTCTATTTTCAATCTCTACTAAGTATTTTTATAACAGAAAATATAAATCATAAATCATATTGATTAGCCTACACTGACCACAATTTTAAAGATAAAAGAACAGCAAATTGTACCCACTTCTTTTGCCGTCTTAAGTAGTCAACAATAGTAAGCATTGTTCTTTGAGATATTTTATCCACAGTTCCATTAGGAAGATTTTCTGAATCTATAATGGAAATATCTTTAATTAGTAGGTTAATAAATTATTGGTGTGCAATCCATATGTGTATCCTTACTTTTAGTAAGGCATAAGTAAAGTAGGCCCATTTGAATCAATGGTACATATAGAGGAGTCAATTTCTCAAATCCCTATAGATTAAATGGGCTTACTCAAGTGTAATTTACTATGCTAAGCCATAGGATTTTGGCCACAGAGACTACATCATAGGTTCAGAGAAAGAGTTTGAATCCAGAGAAAATGACCTGTTGTTTACCACAGCAAATTGCAAGTAGAGTAAGCCGGGTGAATTAGTGGGAATCAGTGAGCCAATTCCCCCATAGTAATGATTTATGTAAAATAACAAGATTTTAGTCTGTTGTTCTTTACTCTCTTGAACTCAGCCTGTGTTTAAAAATTAACATAATAAGCATGAAAGGAACAAATTATTTCAGATCCTAAAATAATCTGAAATTCTGGTAGAGGAGAACCTTAATTGTTTTACCTGAATCTGAACATACAGGTGTAGATGACCTACTGGGAGACAACACATATTTACAACAAGCAGTGAAAAACTTCTGAATATATGTGGACAAAAGAGTTTGCCCAGATTCCTTTGAATCCTGAAGCAGGATATCGTGAATCAAGTAAGGAAGGACAGTCTGGCAACAATCCGTTTGAACCTAGAAAATAATCAAAATAAGATACAGAAAAGTTAGTTTGCCTCTTGTGTTCACTTAGAGCAAATCAACTTATGAAAGCAGTCTATGAAACTTTCATATATACACCTTCAAATCATCTCTGATTTGGCAATAAAAGGCAATAATGATAACAGAAGAAAGCCAGGTCTATAGCAGATACTCCTGCCAACTCCATTATTTTACCTCACACAAGGGCTTCAGTAACCGAAGAGTTTCATTTTTTACCCCTCCACTATCCAATAATGTGCAAGTCAAGGTCTTGATCCAAACTTCATGGCTTTCATTCTGAGGAATCCACAGATTAGTATTGTCCAAATCTTCTGAAAGAGTCTCTCTTTCTTTATCTGGTAGCTCTAAGAACTATGTTAAGGAAAAAATCAAGTTACTATTGTATTTCTTTACCAGAAATGTACACTTTTATTTCCTCAAGGCCATTAACTCCAACCTTTGTTTGACTAGGCTCCCAACTCCCACATACAGTACAAGTGAGATAAATAAACTGATATTTTAAAGGCTTTGAGGGGGGGGGGAGAGAAAGGATCACAAGCTTCATTCAGGCTGTTTGATGCATACGAATGACACAGCTAAACAAAACTGAAGAACCACAAGACCTGACAAATTGAACAGATTAATTCCACAAGGAAAAAGAATTCTGAATAGTCATAGATCTTAGAAACAAACAATGATAAAGAAAAGACTAGAGTAATATGGAAAGAAACCGTGGGGAAAAGTTTTCAAAAGCTTAAAAGCAGATCAAGGTTCCTCATTATACTGCTCAGGTGGTTTTTAGAGGACAGTGGAGGAAGGCACTCCACTGGGGGTGATTTGCCAGTAAGGGAGTCAGCAACTCTTAGCTCTCACACCGAAAGCTCTGAATTTCCAAGATGTTGTGCTGCATAAGCACAGAATCTATGCCTAGCTACCCAAGTGTCTACTCTTAGTCTAACATGTAGGGTTCTGTACCCCTCTCCCCAAAAAAGCCCTTGGTCCAATGCATAATGCTAAATTATATTGCTCCATATCCTGGGGGCCTTCAATGGACTCAAGCAATGTCCTTGATGAAGAATAGCGGTCTATACTATATGCCGTTTTCCAAGATACACAGCTCTTAATGGAGCCAAACAATGACAGTATTCCTTCTCATTACAGCAGTATGCAGATTCCTCAAGCTTCCATGTGTCGTGTATTTCTCTCTCACTCTCTAAAGTGGCAAGGATGGGAACTACAGAGACTCATGAGCTCTTGCTCTTACGGCTACAGATTAAATAAAAGAAAAGCAGCTGGAGCTGCTCTCTGGGTTGAAGCAGAACCTGAACTGGGAAGATTTTCTGTTGGAAAAATGTTCGTGGGCGTAGATGTCCCTGAAAGTGGCAGGGAAAAACAACCCGACTCAAGATGACTTTTAAGGCTTAGTTAGGCTTCTGCATTTACATGCTAGAAAAATATAATACCTTTTTCTTAGACCCTCTGAAAGGAAGGAGGTAAACCAGCATAGGATCTGCTTTCACTTTGTAAATCTCCCAGAATGTATGACCAGTCTGAGTGGCCAAAATGTTTTTCAAACAAGCAGCAGCAGCTGATCGAACTTCAATACTGAAAGAATAACAACCGTTTTTTAGATAACAACCTCATAATAAGAACTTATCTAAAAGGCGACATCAATATACTTTTATCAACCATCCAACTGTAAACTTACCATTGATCTGTTAAAGCATTGTTTATGAGAGTCAACATTATGAAGATCCACTGAAGTTCTCGTTCTTCAAACAGATCAACTGCACTTAAGCAGGACACATTTTTATTATGTTGTAAGGCTGTGGTAGAAAAATTGATAGGCCCAATTTCTCCTAAACAACTTCCAACTGCTTCTGCAAATGTAATAAATATAAATTCAGAGATGGTTATGCATGCTAAAACAATATAAAAAGTTGCCAGCTGTCCCATCCTTTTTACAACAGCAGCAACAACATATTCATAGTGTCATAGATTTTACCACAGGAGTTAGCATTCATCCTGAGGTCAGCAAGTCATGTCTTTGCATACAGATCTCTTTAATTAGGGAGGGAAACTTAGCCAGTCAAGGAATGCACTCGTCCCTTGAATGCACTATGAACTCTCTGCTGTTCCACTGCTGAATATGCAACAAACATATTTCATAACAAACAAATGGTGTTTAAAATTTATGAGCAGATCTTTACTTTGGGGATGCTCTTAAGGTACAAATCTGCTCATAAAAAAGGGTGTCTGCAACTTGTTTTGAGGGGGGAAATTTCTGCTCTGTGAAAGTACAATAACATTTTTCTTGTAGTGACAAAGGACACAAAGGGGATGCAAAAAAGGACAGGATGCTGGACTTCGATGGGAGGCAGTGGTGCTGAGCGTGACCATAGGCAGCAGGCAGGTTGTGAGTTTACAGAGGACCACTTGAAGAATCATAGTTACAGGTAAGCAATGTGTCCTCCTTCGTCAGGGTCTTTGTGACCCACACATATGGGTGAACAGCAAGCTGTTTTTACCAGTGGAGGGTGTCCTTCTGCCAACACTGCAGAAAGCATGACTGTGCTGAATGCTGTCCCAAGAAGCTTGGGCATCAATTCTATAGTGAGTGATGAATGTCATCGGTTGAGACAAGGTAGCAGCCTTGCAGATTTCTATTGAGGGGAATGCCCTGTAGGACAGCTGTGCGAGCAGCCATAGCCACTTATCAATTCCAGGCTTATCCTGGAATTGATAAGTCATCTTAATCATAGCTACTCCCCATTCAGCAAGCTGTCGTGATAAGACAGGTTGCCTTTGCCTTGGTAGTAGACACACAGTCTGGACATGGTCCAAACAGGCCATGTTCAGGAGGCACAGAAAACAAGTGCCCTGCAAACATCAAGCAAGTGCAGAGTTTGCTTCAGAGGTAAAGTAGGAAAGGCATGAAAAGCAAGTAATACCACGGGTTGGCTGAGATGTAATTGGAGACAACATTGGGCAAGAAGGTGAGGCCAGAATGAAGAATAACCAAGTCTGGGTGAAACCTGGTAAGTAAAGGATTGTGTCTTAAAGTCCACTAGCTCCAGATGCTGATGGGACTGTGACATGGAAGGTCATATTGAAGGCAAAAAAACAAAAATCAATAGTAGCCAATGGTTTGAAGGGAGATCAAGTGAGGACTGTCAGGACCAGTGAGAGGGACCACAGAGGAGTCAGCATGTATCTGGAAGGCTGTTTTGTAGGCCTCTTAAGTGTTGTTTGAAAGTGGGAAGGCAGGATAGTTTGGAGGAAGGACTGCCATCAAGCTAGCCGCCTAGAGTGGTCATTTTGAACAGATAGGCGGGGTATAAATAAATAAAATAAAATAAATAAATAAAATCGTGGGCAACTACCTCTGAGGAATATACCTTGTGAGAGTCCTGACTGTTTTAAGTGGAGAATGAACTGACACACAGCCTGCAGGTTGGTCAGGAGGGAAGAGAGACTACGCTCTGCTATAAAGGTAAGGAATTTGAGTCGATGCCTAGGGCTCTGCTGAGGCTGGAGCCTGTACAGGTTCCTGGGTTTCTTTCTGGATTAGGTCCATTTGTATTTGGCCAAGTCCTTCGGTACCACTTGCCGAACATAATCTCAAGTCTAGGTGGGATCTCTCAGTATCAACTCATTCAAGTCCTTCAATAACAAGAGGATCGCATCACCACAGATTGCAGCTGCCATCAGTAAGTCTTTTGATTGAGTTTTGCAAATGGGGGTCAAAGTTATTGTTGGTTGCTGGGACGCCAAGTTAGCAGCCAGAACAGTTTGTTCCCAGAGGAAGAGTTTTAGTTTTGAGACTCTGTTCCAGAGGCCTATTTTGGTGAGTCCTCAGTAAATGGGGCATTGAGTGACTTTATGGCTCTCTCCCAAGTAGCAGAGACACCTATTGTGGTCGTCAGCATGGAAGATCTTCCTGCAAGCAGTACATTTCTTAGAGAGGCTCACTGGGACCATAAAAGGTTGGAGGGAGAGAGAGGAGTAGAGAATAAACAAAATCCTCTTTTGGAGGGGTGAGTGGGAGGTAGAATAGATGAAGAACAAACAGGGAGATTGAGAAGAAAACTATTTACATGAGGTAGGTGCCAGCTTGCTTTCATCCAAGAAGCTCCTGGGTGTTGCTGTCACAGTGGAAAGAAAGGAACTTAGGAGGCAGCCATGGAGTGTACCAATACAAGCATGTGGGACAGGGTGGAACCAGAGGGCAGAGTTTTTGACTCTACAAGCTTCTGAAGAGGGCCATACAAAGATGCTCTGACCCCCATGTGTAATTCATGGAGAGCATAGACAGCAGCAACAGGTTTCATGTTTCTCCCATCACATTAGAAATACAAATGTAAAATATAAGCTAATACAATTGCTGCTAAAAGATGTATGATTTGAATGCTCAATTACTTACCTAGGACTGTATCAGTTGAATTCACAGCAGTTTTTGAAAGTTGCAAAAGGCACACCATCAACTTCACTATTACACAATCCTTTGGGTTGTCTACAATTTGAAAGAAAAAGCATTAAGAGAAACATCAAGGGTTCCTATTAGACTTGCTTAATTACATTTCCAAAGCCAACCAGAATCCCATTTCTAAATTACACTTGTGTAAGGAAAATCACTTAAGTTTTGGAAACAAATTGCCACTTATTAATGAGGTGCTGGTTGCGTTCTTGGATGCATGCCTGATCAGGCACTAACCAGAATGCAACCAGCATCTTAGTTAATGAGCATCAGTTTGTCACCAAGAACTGTATGAGTTATTTTGGTCATGTAAGTATAAATCAGTGGAAAGTATAAATCAGTGGAATCAGGAGGGCCTGGCGTGCTCTGGTCCATAGGGTCACAAAGAGTCGGACACGACAACAACAAAATTACAACTCATCTTACTTTCTCTGTTAGAATGCTGCTGATCATCATTTTTCTACTGGACTGGCATATATTTTAACTACTGTTTGAATGATCCTTATGTACACCTCCTGGGACCAGAATTTAATGGAAAAACAGAATGAATGGATACATAACACATTTAGTTTTATTTTATTTTTTATTTTATTTATTTATTGTCATTGTAAGTATATACAGAGTATACCCATACAATGAAATTCACAGACACCCAGAGACCAGACATATGCACACACATAAAATTCCCCAAACACTCCCCACCCACTAAAAAATCCCCCAACACTTCCCACCCACTAAAAGTCCCCACTAAAAATACAAACATCTACACCGCAGGCCAAGTAACACAGTCCAACTAACTATTCACTACTGGTGGTTAATACACTACTTAATAATGGCAGCAAGACTTGCAAACTATAGAGAAAAAATGTTCAGAACATTATTTTCATACTTTTGTAGAAAGAAAAAATGGATAAATAGGAATTGTAGAGATAACATAAATTATAAGGAATTATATTTGGCTCTTACAGCTACATAGACTACGAATTAGTACAGAGTACAGAGTGTAAATAATACAGGTTAATTTTTAGAAATGTGATCAGAAATAATGATAAAAATTAAGTTATTTTACCACATCCACTGTAAAAAAAATTCTGTTTTGTAAAAATATTAACAAGTGTTCAGAAATAACGATTATGCATTTATAATATACTGGAATACAGAAATCCTGTGAAACAGAAACAGTTTATGAATGGATAATAAAATCTTGATACTTAGAACCTGACACACAGAAACAATTTTTTTTAAAAAGTTTTAAATTCTCACTCTGCAATTCTTTCATAAGGTACTTGATTTGTTCTTTATGATCTTCAAGTTGTTTGCGCAAATCATTCAAACCTTCAACTCTCGTTAATGGTAGTGAATCGGAGTTATTTATAGATAGGAAATGGTTAATTTCCTGCAAGATTAAAATTCATTTTATAGTAAGTATATAATTTACACCTTTTCTCCTATGAAATCTTAAAATTACATGTTGCTATAGCATTTACTCGAAGAGTCGGACACAACAACAACAACAACAAATAGCATTTATTGTAAACCAGCCATTCTTGACTTTTTTTGGAGCCTTTGTCACAAACACAGTATGAAAGAATATAGGCTGAATGAAGATTATATAAATTGAACAGGGTGGTGTGTGAAGAATTGTTTCCAGTTTGTGGTCCTCTTCAAATGTGTCAGGGTTCCTCATAGGAATATGGCCCCCATTGAGAATGGCTGTTAAAAACTGATGTTTATACAGTATTCATTATATACTGTACAAACATTTACAGACTTTGAATCACTAAGTGAGACACAGACTGACCCCTTATATTGTGTGGCTAAATCCATTTTATTCAAAATCAGTAACAGATGCATCTATAACAGAATGTGTCTGCCTGCCTTTAGCACAGTTGTAGGACTGTAAACCCCAGACACCTGAAGCTCAAGATTGATACAAAGTGGCCCCTATGAATAACTTTTTGGCTGTTATCTTGTTTTTTAAAATTAATTAATGCTAGTTAATTGAGATTGGCATGTAGCTAACAGTACAAATTTGAGCCACTAAATGGTACTAGTTGCTATTTCCTAAGAGGAAATTGGCCCCAAAATTACAGGCAACTCCATTCGATGCTGTCCTATGTAAGACCCCTGAACCTTTCTCAACACTTGATCACTGAGTGAGGGAAGAGAGAATCTATTAAGTAGAAAGGAGAAAACTTAACATGGGAAATGCTGAATTACTATTTGAATGGAGACCACTAAGAAGGCAGAGAGAGAAGAAAATACCAGTGTGGGACTAAAGGGTAGTTGATCTATGCTAAGCTGATACAGGATGTTTGAATCTGGAGTGAAGAGGAGAAAAACACCAGCAAGGAAGAAGAAGGGTCCGTGGAAGAAAAGAGACACTACTGTATTTTTTCATGTATAAGATACCCCCATGTACAGGACCCCCCCCTTTTCTAACCCAAAATTAAGAAATCTTAACTTAGCTTCGAGAATTCAGCCTCTGGCCTCAGAATGCTCAGACATTACAAGTCCCTCTTGCATCTGAGCCTACAGGCTCCACCTCCAATGAGGTGTGTTCCAATTGGTTTGTTCAGCATCAGCTGACGTCAGTTCCATAAGGCTTGTGATTGGAGGAAGCTGAATCTCCTGACTGTATATCGAAGGGGCAGAGGAACCAGAGACCAAATTGCTAACATTCCCTGGATGATGTAGAAAGCCAGAGAATTGCAGAAAAACATCTACTTCTGCTTCATTGACTACTCAAAAGCCTTTGACACAACTGGATATGGAACAACTGTTTGGTTCAAAATTGGGAAAGGAGTACGACAAGGCTGTACATTGTCTCCTTGCTTATTTAACTTATATGCAGAGTACATCATGCGAAAGGCTGGACTGGATGAATCCCAAGCCAGAATTAAGATTGCCGGAAGAAATATCAACAGCCTCAGATATGCAGATGATACCACTCTGATGGCAGAAAGTGAGGAGGAATTAAAGAACCTCTTAATGAGGGTGAAAGAGGAGAGTGCAAAAAACGGTTTGAAGCTCAACATAAAAAAAAAAACTAAGATCATGACCACTGGTCCCATCACCTCCTGGCAAATAGAAGAGGAAGATATGGAGTCAGTGATAGATTTTACTTTCTTGGGCTCCATGATCACTGCAGACGGTGACAGCAGCCACAAAATCAAAAGACGCCTGCTTCTTGGGAGGAAAGCGATGACAAACCTAGACAGCATCTTAAAAAGCAGAGACATCACCTTGCTGACAAAGGTCTGCATAGTCAAAGCTATGGCTTTTCCAGTAGTGATGTATGGAAGTGAGAGCTGGACCATAAAGAAGGCTGACCGCCAAAGAATTGATGCTTTTGAATTGAGGTGCTGGAGGAGACTCTTGAGAGTTCCTCGGACTGCAAGGAGAACAAACCTATCCATTCTGGAGGAAAAATCACCCCTGAGTGCTCACTGGAAGGACAGATCCTGAAGCTGAGGCTCCAATACTTTGGCTATCTCATGAGAAGAGAAGACTCCCTGGAAAAGACCCTGATGTTGGGAAAGCGTGAAGGCAAGAGAAGGGGACGACAGAGGACAAGATGGTTGGACAATGTCATTGAAGCTACCAACATGAATTTGACCCAACTCTGGAAGGCAGTGGAAGACAGGAGGACCTGGCGTGCTCTAGTCCATGGGGTCACGAAGAGTCAGACACTACTTAATGACTAAACAACAACAACAAAGTCTCCTGACTGTAGGAAGCTAAGCCTTGTGATGGAAGGAATCCTGTTTACAGAGGCAAGGTACAGGCCATTTTGTTCTCTCCTCAGCTTACTTCCATGTATAAGACACCCCTCAATTTTTAGTGTAATGATTTTAGGAAAAAGTAGCGTCTTATACACAAAAAATACGGTGTTTTGGGAGGACCTTAGAGATTTCTAATGCAGGTGAAGCTAGTAGATGCTGAACATCTTGCCGGACATAGAAAAAAGACCATCATGAAAGCGTGTGGGAGGAAGGTGGAGATGAACAACTGTACCCCAGGAGAGGAGTAGGCTACCAGTTCTTTAACTCATGAAAAACAAAGAAAATCCTTATTGAGTCTGAGGGTTGTAGTTTTGATCAAAATTATTCTAACTTGTTTATTACGATTTCACTGGTCAATTGTATATATTACCTCCAAAAGAGAAAATTCTCCTTTACTGTATTTTATTTTTTGCTGAGCGGCACGTAATTCTTGAAAAGCAGGATGGTCAGGAAAGGGATCTAGATATTTGACTGCTTCATACAGATTTTCATTGTCCTTGTTCTCTATCACCAGATATCTCAACAAATTCAGGACCTTAAAAAAGAAAAAGAATAGATCAATGATTTAAAGAAAGTTCATCACGGATACTGTAAGAGGTAAACACTTCAGCATGTGATACTTGGTTTCAAAAAGGCAACAGTACCATTCCAAATTATTCAAATTATATTCCATTTTTCAACGATACATGTATTGCATTTGAAATGGATATCCATAATGCAAGAGACAACTTATAAGGGCGCACACACCAATAGAAACTTTCCTTTTAGCAGCTATTGGTACACATACCCTGTGTATGATCTTAGCAAAAGACTCTTTTTCTTGTGGTTCACACCTGTTTATGAACAAACCATTTGTTTCATTTTATAGTTTTTATTATACTCTTTTATTTTGGATTTTGCATCAATCTGGCCTCCATAGCGTCAGTTTAAACTTTAACCTGGTTTTGCAATTCCATTCACCATACTGATTGTTCTCATATCCCACAGGTTTCATAACATCCAAAATTCCTCTTCATTTTGGAGAAAAATTTGTAAAAGATGTATCATTCTCACAATTGGGTTGGGGTGAGTAGGTTAAATCTTGGGTTTTCAATGTGACAGAAACCAGGGTCAGAACACTGAACTCCTCCTCAGTATTGGAAGGGAACATGATTTTGTCCCTGGTCTTTCAGAGATGTAACTCAGGGGCAAGAACGATAAGCCATTTCATAGTGGAAAAATAGTTGTGACAGTAAATTTGGGGTTGCTTATAAAAGCAGTCCAAAATCTGTGGTTCCCTCTGATATCCAAGGTGAAATCATTAAATAAAGCCCCTACATGTATAGAGACAATGAGCTCCAAAGAAACATGCAAATGGTTCCAAGTAACAGGACTTCAATGCTACAGGTATACAGCTGTCCGTAAAGAACATGGGGAACTATTTCAAAATACAATGAATTCTCAAAAGATGTTTGTAATGTTGTGTGGAGCAGTTCAGAGGGTAAACAATTAAGCCAATCTTCCTAATTAAATGCTACTCTATATCTTATTTGGCTGCTATATAATTTTTAAGTGATATTGTTAGCTGCTGCAACTCAAAATAATGGGTATTTTAAATCTTGTCCCCAAATTGGAAATTCAGAAATGTCGGGCAAGTGCATCTTATGAACAACTTACTTCTTCTTGGGCTTCAGGTTGCTCTCCAACAATCGGTGTTAGTGTACCCACAATAACATGGAGGTGACTTCCTAATGCGTCTTGACAATGTGTGACTGCTGTGCGGCAGACATGATTCAGAAGGTCAATACACAACAAAAAGCTTCGCAAAGATACTTCTTTGAGTGGTAGAGGTCTGAAATAAACAAATGGAAAATTAACTAAAAGCACACTAGTGTGGACCCGGAGTCAGGTTCACTTAAAGTTTGAGGGACCCTGAATGCACACTTTAATTACAAGTGTTTATTAGGGCATGAAGAATAAGTAGGAGAACAGTGTTGCTTCCATTCAGTGGAAAATAGTTTGTTCTAGTTGCAGCTCAAGGATAGGGTTAAATGCCTTGTATTTCCAGGTTGCTATTCTTATCTGCCAACAAATCACTTCCTACTTATGGTGATTCCATAAATTATTAACCTTCAAAGAAGTCCTATCATTAAAAGCCTTGCTTAGCACTTCCAAACTATAGATTGTGGCTTCCGTTATTAAATCAGTTCACCTTATTTTAGATTATCCCTTTCTCCTATTAGCTTTTTCTGACATTGTTCCTGTGAGTCTTGCTTTCCCATGATACATTCAAAGTACAATAACCATAGGTTAGTCATCTTAGCATCTGAGTTCAGGTTTGATTTCATCTACAATACTCATTTGTCTTTTCTGGCAATCCAGAAATAATGCAGACCAGAACGCTATCTTCCAGTTTCCAAACCCTTTCCTTGGGATAGGCAATCTGAAGAAGAAAGGCTACACCAGAGCAAAAGCTCTATGAACATGCTGTGTGTATGTTTTCCAAAAGAGGTCACTTTGCTTTTTGAAATTTTTAAAAATAGAGGGCTTAAAGTTAGCGAAGATTATTACTCGAAACTAAGGTCAAAATCATCCATATTATGTAACAGAAAGATAAGGATAAAAATCAAACTCAACTGAAGTGCAGTATTGGAAGAGAGTCTTACAGATACCACAGCCAGCCAGTAGGAAGAGAGGAAGACCTAACATAAGACAGATTGTTTCCGTAAGGAAGCCACAGCTAATACTTTGCAAGACCTGAAAATAACTTACTGGGAAAGACAATATAGCTAGGAGCAAGGGTTGGGCAGTAGATACACAAAATTATCTACCATGATGAGATGCTGTTGATTTGCAAGATCGGAGCACAGCTTTTAGTGATGAGACATTCTAGAGGTCATTAACTCATGCACATTAGGAGTGACTTGATGGCACATAAAATACAGTATTAGAAATTTTCTTTCTTGATTACCAACAACTGTATAGCGATAATAACAAAGCCAGACAAATTCTAGCCAACAAGAAGTCTAGATGAATTTACTGGCTAACAACTGAGAATTTGTTCCTACCGTGATTCTTGGTCTATATATAAACAAGTCAACTACTGAGAAAAGCAAAACTGAATAGCATGAAGAGTCTTCTTAAAACCATTCTTCCTATCTCTCCAGGAAGAGAGGGAAGGGTTTGTGTATATTGAGGCAACGCTTTGATCAAGTTTACGCTTGTAACAACACTAAATCCTGACTTAATATTACACCCTTAGGCATGGCAAAGCAGAAAGCTTTAATATAGATGAAATGAATGGCTAGAAGGCAGTTCTAAATCCCAGATCTAATGCAAATGTCTAAAATAATATGGAATGAAATATAGGAATATGAAATAGCATATAACATTTCTACTTACCTATCGTTGATGTGGTGGATCATAGTATATATCACATCCCGAAGTACAAAAGCCCATGCTCCTCCTAAGCCATCTGTTATTTCTTTCAGCAATAAATTTACAAAGAAGTGATATATCATAAGAATTCTATGTTTTTTGTAAATATTACTTGTTCCAGACGCTTGTCTACATATGGCCAGTAAGATTTTCTGGAATGACTCCTTTGAGGGGAAAAAATCAAAACACTGAGCAGTTATTTCACAAACTTCCTTTAAAAAAACTGGTTAATCTCTCTTTTTAAGCATTTCAAGATTCTATGACAGTTCTGAGAATCTCACTTTCTACACTGCTCTGTTATATTTAGATGAAGAACAGTTTGAAAATCTTTAATAAATAGATAAGGAATAAAAAAATACGGTGGAATTATATTATAGGTCCGAATTGCACATGATGACATACATTAACTGGTTGTTCTTGGTATTATTTATTTTAGTTCCATTATGCTTTCTCCCCAGGAACAGGATGTAAGATATAGTATCATCCAAAATCCAAGTCTCTCCATCACATTTGGACCTCACAATGTGCATTTCCTTTGCATTCTACATTTTTTCAACAGGATAAGATGAGTAGATGCACTCTCTTGTTATCTCAGGAGTAAATTATAGCAGGTATTACAGAAAGGGGAGGAAGAAACAGATTGGCATCTACAGATTTCAGCAGCTCCTATATGTATATTATCCTGTCTAATTCATCAAAACAGCAAACCAAAGGTAGTACTTTTGCAAGTGTAAGATGGCTTGTAGCATTCCAAATAGCTTGAAATGAATTTCTGTACATCTTTGTTCTATTCTTAAAAAATAATCAGCAATCAGGCAGCTTTTAACGTTGGGAAAAATATGTAACAAAAGTAACAAATTAAGATAGATAAGTCTTGTGTTTTTTTCCTGACTGTTATAATTATGGAAAATCATTCCAGACCTAATTATTTAGAGACATTGATATTCTACAAATAGGGAAAGCATCCACTGTATTAAGATTTCAAACCATGCCATAAGCATTTTGAATGGCAAGTCTCTGATAACCCTGTGGCTCAAAGGGAACTTGTATGCAAGGCCAGCCAAATCAAGGACCTCCTTATTAATATTTTTTACAATGTCTTGTCACTCTTGAATTGGCCTTCTCAGCCACACTAGACGTTGTTCCGAGATCTCTATTCAGAGCATGTTACCATAGTCTCTCGAGACTGAAGGATGTCTACTGATGATTAATGCCTTAGTGGGCAAAATCCTGATGCATAAATTTACACTGGAATTACCCAGATTGGGCATCACAAATATTTAATTCATGCATTCTTTATTATATGGTCACAGACTCAAGCTAATATTAAATGTAATTGAATGGCAAACTCCCACTCCACCCCATTTTCATGTTTCAAGGTTCCTATGGCTCACTTTTCCCCTTGGGAAGCCTTTGGGATAGGAAAGGAGTCTTTCATAGTTAAAAAACATCCCTGCTGGATTACTGCCCTTGAGATTGGAATGGCAGTTGTTGCCTATCAAAAGCTTCTCCTCCACCTCTGTGTCCCGACGCTCCCAAAGTCTTTCCTTCAAGGCAAAAGGGAGCCCTAGAGAGCCTTGGAGCTTGAAAGGGTGTGTGGTACCCAGCCATATTTAAATGGATTGTTTATATAGTTTGGTATGTATGAGATGGGAGGGAGTAAGTGAGGAACATGTTGGTAGGAATGATTCTGGTTGGCTGGGAGTAAATCTAGATGAGGGGGATGATGCATCTTACGTCAGATCAGTCATGAGTCTCATACTGAGGAGAATCTGGTGTAGAGATGAGAGAAAAGACTGGTTTGGGGGTCTGAGAGAGAGATATGGAGTGGGGAGAAGTAATAGTGTAAAGGATGGAACTGAATGAATTTAATACCTAGGGGAAAAACATTATTTTTAACACTGTTATTTTAGTAAAGGATGGAACTGAATAAATTTAATGCCTAGGAAAAAACATTATTTTTAACACTGTTATTTTAATACAACTTTATTTGTTCTATGAGTGGTGCTGAGTTCAATACCTATGGGCGAACTATGTGGAGGGTGTTATAAAGGCTTGAGTGAAAGGTTAGAGAGGAAGAAATGCTTAAAGGAAACATGTTTATTCCTGTGATGATTTAAAGAGCCTATTACCTCAAAAGTCAAGTGACAAGGCAAAGAGAGGTTGGATATCAATATCAGAGAGAACGGATATGACAGAGGTATAGGAAGCTTTCCATTGGTTTAAATCAAATATTCTCTGAGATTGATCTGGGTTATGCTGGTGTACATATACATCAACTGGATTTTGCCCCAAATCTGTCAATTCTGGCCAATGCAGTAAATTCTGCTCTTCTTACTGAGAAACTTTGATAGCAAGGGCTCTTACAACATTTTGCACTCATGACAAAGAAGATTCAAGAGGTGTTCGCAAAAAACCCTTCAGCATTTTGCAAAAAACCCTTTAACATATATTAAGCATCTTTGACTGTCAAAATTCATTTCTTAAATAAATGATATAGCCATGTTATTCTATTAAAGGAAAAACAGTAAAAAGTCTTACAGCGTCTTGTAATGAAGTGGACTACAGGCTATGAAAGATTGTGTCTGCATGTGTGCGCGCGTTTGTCAACTGCCATAAGCTTTTTTTAACTGCATATTATTCCTCACTTTTATATAAGAATGTAAGAAGAGCCCTGCTGGATCGGGCCAAAGGTCCATCTAGTCCAGCTTCCTGTATCTCGCAATGGCCCCACCTTTGGGAGCATACTGAGACAACTAGATACCTGTCTCCTGATACCCCTCCCCTGCATCTGGCATTTGGAGGTACCTTCCTCTTAAGCCTGGAGATTATACGTCCCCATCATGGCTTGTAACTGTAACGGGCTTTTCCTCCAGAAATCTGTCCAGCTGCCTTTTCAAGGCATCTAGGCCAGATGCCATCACCACATCCTGTGGCAAGGAGTTCCACAGACTAACAATACACTGGATAAAGAAATATTTTCTTTTGTCTGTTCTCATTCTCCGAAAACTCAATTGGAGTGGATGTCCCCTGGTTCTGGTATTGCGTGAGAAGGAAAAGAGCTTACCTCTATCCACTTCATCCATCCCCTGCATAATTTTATATGTCTCAATCATGTCCCCCCTCAGGCGCCTTTTCTCTAGATTAAAGAGCCCCAAAGGCTGAAGACTTTCCTCAGAAGGGAGGTGCCCCAGCCCAGTCATCATTTTAGTCAAACTTTTCTGCACCTTTTCCAGTTCCACTATGTCTTTTTTGAGGTGCGGCGATCAGAACTGTGCGTAATACTCCAGGTGCGGCCTTACCCAGCACACCTTTGAAAACCATTTTCTTTTAAAATGGTTGAAGAAACATGCAATGTTGAACACAAATGTAATTTATAAAACAACAAGAAATCATCTTAAATGCTATTATATACTGAGGAGTGTTGCCACACTGTCACAAAGTAGAATATCAATTACTTACAGGGTTCTTGGAAAGAATTGCTATAAGTTCTTTTGACTTGGTTTTATAGCAACTGCCAATGTAATCCAATGTTGCTTTGATAACATATGATGGAAAATAAGGGGGATTTGGAGCAGGATCCAGATCTCTGAAAGGATAGAAAAGATTTCAAAGCTTTCAAAACGTCAATGAGCCCACATACCAAAATCTTCTGTAAACAGATAATCTAAGTAACATTAAGAGGGATAAGAGTGTTCCTTCAAGATTGATTCTCACAGTTGACATAAAGAGATCCAGTTACTGTGTACAAATGGGTATTCTGAGGAGTCTACATTTTAAACTCCTAAACAAGTATTTTTAAACAAAATATGACTCATCAATCTATACTTAAGACATCTGCTCATTCAGTACTGTTAACAGGTACAAAGCAAGTCTCCAAGGACTGTGTATATGTACATACTGTTGGACTACTGCTTTCATACACTATAATGTGGATAAATATATTTCTATACACTGTAATTTAAGGAAAAAGAAGTGCAACATCACACATAACATACAAATGCACATGGGAATGTCAATGCCCATATGCAAGTACAGCTTACAGCTTTTAGTTTACATTATATTTGAGGGGAACACATACTATTATGTTTATAGGCAGTTGCATAAAATGTTAAATTGTTACTGGGACAACAGGTTCACATATAAACAAAGACAAACAAACTGTAAGACATAGTAAGTTAATAAAGAAGGATAAACTGTACCCAGTAAATCTCTTTAGATCTGATTTGGTCATGACATCACCTGTCTCATGTAAGGTCATCAACACTTCTATCACAATCTCTGGCAAGCTACCATGAAATAAATTGTCTATCAACTATAAAAAAGGAAAAGCACAAAGGTTGAGATGTTACATTCTAAGGAACTCAGTTCAAAAAGCAGAAAATTTGGTTACCTGTAAATCTGTCTTCTATTTGTTCACAATGCCATAGGTAATCATCTTATAAATGAGATTTGAGATCCATGAAAGCATCTACCTGAGCCGCAACCCTGAGCTTAGTTTCCCACCACAACTACCTTGGATTTAAAAAGATTTCTTGATTATCGATCTGAGAAGAATGGATGGGGAATTCCCACAGAGTGCTTTGGAAGCTCTCCACCCCTTCCCTTAAAAAAAAGGTTCCAAAACAACTATTCCAATAGAAAAGAAGAAAATAATATATATTAAAAAAAAAAACAGAATAGGTGGGCCATGGCAAAAATAGTGAAAGATAATTCACTCATCTGAGGTGTAACAAATCAACAACCACAGTCAGAGAGGACCTATCAGAGTTCCAGCACACTCTGAAAAATCCTGCTATCAAAAGAAGCATCAACTAAATCATTAACAGTTCTTTTGCATCATACCACTAGTGTACTTTGATGACAAAGTGGACACCCAAAATCAAGGGTTAAATGCTGTTGGACTCAAGAGGCTAACCTAGCCTTATTATTGCATTTGTCAACTCACACACAAACCACCAACCTAGGCAGGCATTCACATACCAACAGGCAGTTGCTAATTTTTCTCCCTTCTCTCTTTAACATGCAAGTTAAATTATATTGTAGAAGAAACCTGACAGCACATAGAACACCAAGTTTCTTTAAGAAGGGCCATCCAAAACCCAAGGAGGTTGCCCCAGTAGCGATTATCTAGCATTTTAAAAAGTATTAATATAAAGAACTCAAAGCCTCCTGTCTCACCCACCCAATACTGTATTTGAATAATTAAGGGAAGCAGCCTTAGTTTGGGATATGAAACAGAACTTCCAAAGACATCTAATGGAGGTATCTGGACCTTCCACCTCTGTCCTCAAATCTCAGGCCCCTCAGCCACCTTGGGAGGACACAAATACAGCTGAGATCAGTGATTAATGCTACTGGATTTTGGTGAAGGTCAGAAATAAGACAGCATTCAAGGAAGCGCATAATACAATGGAGAATATTATAATGAATGAATACATCTCTGAGGAGTTCATCCACAGTCATTTGTGACAGCATCTCTATCTTAAATTAGTTTATGCAGGAAAATGGTACATAATTCAAAAATGATTTTTCCAATTTGGTTTTCATAGCAAACATGCACAACACTTGCACTTATTTTGAAAACAAATTATACTACTCTCACCTTACAGAATAAACATTAATCTTTGCGCTTATTTTGAAAATAAATTATACTACTCTCACCTTAAAGAATCAACATTAATCTGAATTAATTACTTCCCTCTAAGACAGGTTTGATTTTTTAAAGAATAAGAATGTTCAAATTCATTTGATGTAACCATGCAAGTTGTACAAAAAGAAACAAAACGAAGGCCAGAAAGTACCTCCTTTCCTAAGCAGCTTTCATCTTTCAGCTTGTCATAAACTTCAGAAGCTCTGTCTCTCTTCTGTACAAACTCGCCATCTTCAGAGTTTTGATAGGCAAAGTAAGGGAGAATATTGACAAGGATTTTGGGGAAACAATGAGCCAGTAGCTGCCGTCCCTCTGTTCCAGTCTCGTCAGCAATGGATTTGACCACTTCAAACTGATCTCTAACTACCAGTTGCGGAATCAAAACTTTATAACAGGACCTACAATTAAGAGATTTTTAGCTTTAAAATCTGATACAATATTTGGAAAATATCTGATTTTAAAATATAACAGTCCTGGTTACACAAATAATCAAACAGTAGCAAATTATTCTCAAAAAGTCTCTGCAACATTCCAGTGCTAATTAGACACTACCATGAATCTGTTCTAACTGGGGCTAGAAGCTGAATTCAGGCCTCTATCTAGGGGTAAATCAGGCTGACACAGAAACATACCTGTAGAAGTCATCTAAAGCAGAAAAATTCAATAAAATGTATGGAAATTCAGAAATTCTGTAGCCACAGTTCAGCCACTCTTGAACAAGAAAATCTAAGTGTGTGTTCATGAAATCTTTTATACTCTTATAGCCAAAATTGCAGGAAATTTTTCCTAGTATCTGCATAAGGGAGAGAAAAGACAATACTAAATCAGATCACCACCAGATGTGAAATTGCAGAAATAACTTATTTTACAGTCTTCTCTATTTATTTAAATAGTACTTCATGCAGTGTCTATAAAATTAATGCTTAGCATGTAAAACACAGGGGTCTGTAAGTATAGGCTTCTCCCATAGGATAGAACAGGTTTTTCTGACACAAGAATAACAATCAAAAGAATGTTTTGTCTGCATCTCAGATTCATTTATTCTAAGATTTATATAAAACATCATAAAACCACTGAGATTTTAACGAGTTAAATAGTTCAATGTAAGATATATTTTATGCTTTAAAAAAGAGTAGAACATTAAATCACTGCATTCATGTGCAAAGGATTTCCAAGATGCATACCTTACTTACAAGTTGAGGTTCTAATCCATTTTGTTTCACACACTGGAAAATTGCAAACAGTGCCTGTTTTTCACACACAGGACTGCAGCATAAAATAATACTTAATAATACAAGGAGAACTGATCTTTTATTATACTCTTCATCAGAAAGATTCTCCTGGCTGCCAATGCCACGGACCTTTATTCCCAAAACAAACAAAACCACAGAATGAATGTGATCTCCTTGTACAGTACATGACAGGTTTAAATTAGAGTTCTCTGAACTTAATTTGGTTAAAATACGGTAGCATTCTGATACAGAGATATAAGAAATTACCGAAAATATCTAATTTGTCAAAGTTACTGAAAACCCCTTCCATTGAAATTTAGTCTTTTCAGAGACCAGTTGTATTCAGTTCAACACACCTTATCCTCAAATAAATAGGTATTGGATGCTGTCTTATTTACTTAAAATGTGGAATTTTACCCCATGTTTCAAAGGGCAATACATATTATGCTACATTTCAGGAGAATCTTCCCCAAGGCAAACAGCAGCCCAAGAGAAACTCAGATGTAAAACAGAGGAAAATAAGCTTTTAATTAATGGAAGTTACATGTTCTTGGCTGCCCAATCTGAGTTGTACCCACGCACAAATTCAGTCATCAGGATTTGCCCATTTATTTTGTCAAGCTACTAGTTGCATCAACCCCTAGGTAAATAAACTAAGACTGCAAATTCTAAATTGGAAAATGTAGTTAAATACTGGTAAACCTTTCCCACTTATACTGCTGAGTGATTGCAAGACTGACAAAAACTTTTAACACAGTTTTGGTATTTTGGTTTAATTCAAAACAATCACCACAAAATAATAAAAACTATTACAGTGGAACTTTTTATGCATGTTTAGTGGCAAACTGCATTACCAGCTTCTTTGCTCCTTCTTGAGCTCTGATGTACAGATTCTCGAATGCCGCTTGCTGCAACTTCAGCGGCAGAGGTTTTAGTAAACCACATGAATCTCTCATTTTCTCATCCTGAAACAAACTTGAAATCAAGAAGAGAGAGACAGAGAGAGAAATCACATTTCTAGAATAATTTCTAGGCTATTTGTTAAAGTTTTTAAAATACATTTTTGTTGTATTTTTATTTGGGCAGGGGGTTGATCCCTGAGCTTCCTAACATATACGTAGCTATGTGACTAACGGGCAAAAAGACACAGCTAACATTATAAAAACTATACTGGCTGAAAAATTTAGTACTTTGAAAGAGATCAGATTGCAGAGCAACTAATAAAAGCAAACAGGACCAAGTTACTACCTTAAAGATATACACATCTCAAGGACTTTCATAAAATAGGCCAGTTTTCAGTGTCTCTCCTAACTTGTTTATTAATGGTCTTCCACAAACTTCCAAACTTGTTATTTTGCTTCCTGTTTCTTCTGCTTCTCCTGGCCATTTGCCAACAGACACAGAAATGCTAGCCTGAAATGCTAAACATGTATTCGAGCCCTAAGTACTACAAAACCCCTCTCACTAAATAGGAGACATGGGAACCAGCAAATGTGGCTTCGAATTGTTGCCTCATTTGTTTCCTACTAATGCAATGAACAACAGTTAAAAGAAAAGTAGTAAATATTTCAATGATGGAACTCTTGAATCAAATGACCAAAAACTAAAGGAGCACCTGGTTACTGATTTAGCTGCAACCATGCAAACGTGAAAGTTGCTGTCTGCTAAGAAATGGGGGAAAGCGTCTTTCACCGTCAGATTTTCCTGTTTAACATTAAGCACAGCCCACTTTGAATAAGGATCAGCCTGTGGAAAAAGTGGAAGCACTATGTTTTAACAGAACTTGGAGAAGTCAAAGAAATAACATTTTGCATTATATAATTATAGTAGGTATCACATATGTAACTTTTAAAATATACGGCTCTTGACTCACCTGCAGTAAGGCCTTCATACAATCCACTAGTGCTATTCTTACTGGAGCTGTGCACTTTCCTTCATTTGCTAAGTGCCTGGAACAGACAGTATTCAATACTAGGTTAAAACCAGGGTCGAGGGGAACTGCTGTTTTTATCTAGTTTATCACTAAACAGTTATTTTTATTTGTTTTTCATAGTTCTGAAGGGTTTTTCCCTAGATTTTAATTATGCAGAAGTTCAAATAGTTTTGTTAAACAATATATACAAGTGAGATAAAAATCCATATTGTTAATGAATTTTAAGTTTTGCTTATTTGTTACTACCACATAAGCTCGAACCACTATAGCACAATGCATCTGTTTGTTCTCATTAAAATAGTAAATCAATCTATGATTCACATGCACGAGCTTCCCCTTAACCTTGGCATTATGTGGACATCCAAGGTGCCCCACCCTACGTCTCCATATTCTGATTTTTCCCTCCATTTAAATCACAGATGTGAAATTAGACACATTACATACAAGCCAGGGTAGCTGAGGACTTGATCCTTGAAAAATAATTGCCTCTGAATCCAGCAGATGCAAAACTGTCTCATGCACGCTCCAGTTTTGGGTGTATCACTAGTAGGAATGCAGCCAGTGACATATTGACACCTATTGAACGTTCCACAGGCAAACCAGAGACCATCAAGGCAGAGCCATCTTCCCACCAAGGGAGGACCATAATCTTGCCAGAGACAAAACCCTTTCCCCTCCTAACCACAGGAAAGTCTCTATAGGAGTTAGAACTGCACTCCTAGTAATTACTACAGCTGGCAACTCGATAAGCAATAATTTAACAGCAAACTGTGTTCAACATACCAAAATGCCCCAATTACAGTTAAAAATTGACCCTGGGCTTCACTGAAATCTTCAATATTTGTCCCTGCACTATTCAAAGTAGTCACCATAGGAAGGAGATTATGTAGAATTGCACAGCAAACTTCTTGATCTCGGCGATAAAAGGAGCAGACATCCCTGCAGGGGAAAAAACAGAGCAATATATGAAAGATATTGAGAAAATAATTTTAATGACATACATTAGTGCCCCGCTAGACGCTTATCCTGCATGATGTCAAAATCACTTTATGATGAGTTTTATTTCCGATCGCTATTGCGATCACAAAACAATGGTTCTAATGGGGTTTTTTCGCCTGATGTCAATTAGGAGCCTGCTTCGCGAGCCGTTTGTTCACTAAACAACTATTTTTCCTGCTCCGCAAAATGGCTTCCCTTCGTAAAATAGCTTCCCTCCCTTCGCAAAATGGCTGTTTTCCGGACCCCTGCTTTGGAAGGCAGCGATTTTAAACAGCTGATTGGCAGTTCTCTATGGGTGATCTTCACTGGACGATGAGGTATTTCCTCCATTGGAATGTATTGGCCGGTTTTCAATGCATTCCAATGGGGTTTTTTTCTCTTTTGTTTTTTTGCTTGACGATGATTTCGCTTAACAGCAATTTTCCTGGAATGGATTATCGTTGTCAAGCGGGGCACCACTGTACTTCAGTTTCTTTATTTTACTTTTGGTTACTTACGGAAGAGGTTTAAGTAGTGAGACAACTTGATCTTCTAACAAGGGGTTTTCTTCTCTAGGGAGCTCCTTCAGCAAGAGTAAGTACTAGAACAAAGAAGTTTTAAAAAATAGCAGCTGAATTATTTTAAGGTTTCATTCGTTTATATGGTTTCGGCTACAAACCTGCATTATGTATATATTCTGCTGAATGCTAGTAAGTGCGTATGTCACCACAGGGTATGAATTTATATTTTTATGTAATGTAGGATACTAATGCTTTAATGTCCAAAAGAATTTAGCTAAAAGTCATAAGTATAGAAAAGAGTTCTACAGTGGTAAAATTCACAGAACTGCAGAGTAATACACAAAACAGCTACATAACCATCCTCAATATGGCACTCGCCAGATGTTTAGGCCTACAACTTCAACAGCACTGTCAGCATGAGCAATGATCATGGATCATGGGGTATTTAATTCACCACGCCCTGGGAAGGCACCAGGTTCAGAAGGCTGGCCCTGCATGGCTTAACATTTTAAAATCATCCAAGAACAGCAAAGTGTTGCCAGAGCAGCTAACCCAAGGCAAAGACCATTTAAGAGGTGGAACTGAAAGAATTGTTGAGAGACAGAAAACTATTAAGTGTGATCATATGCCATCATCATACTCACCATATGCAGATGCAGTGGTTTAGTATAATCAAATGTATTTCCCTCAATTAGCAATAAAAGCTTCCTCCGAATTTCAGAAACTCTAAAGCAAACTGTGTGTCTTGTGGCTGCTGTGACCGCTAAGCACAAGAACTTTAAAATATCGAGAAGCAGTAAGTCGTGCTTAGTTAGATGTTCTTCTGATAATGGGCTTATGGCACCTGTTTAAAAAAATGGTTATATGTACGTACATCTCAAAATACTGTGTAAAAAAAAAAACTGTATCTAAGGCCACTATGTAGAGAGTACATTCCAAAGCAGGATAAAGATAGGTATTGGACAGTGGGCATTATTGATACAGGAGAAAGCCCATGCAAAGGGCGGAAATTATCCTCCCATAGGGATGAATCCTCTAAAGCTGTGGTCCCCAACCTATTTCAAACCATGGACCAGTTCAGTGGGCATGGTGCGCAGCATTCGTGCATTCATGGGTGGGGAATTGGTGTCTGTGTGTGGCATCTGTGCATGCATGTGGAGTGTGAGTGCGTGCGTCTGTGTGTCCGTGGGCGGGGTGTGCATGCGTCAGTGCATTATGGGGGGCGTATGAGGGGGACGTGCATGGAGGTAGGTCTGTCTCCGCAGCCCAGTCCTGCCAAGGTCACATCCTGGTACCGGGCTGTGGACCAGGGGTTAAGGAACTCTGCTCTAAAGAGCTAAGGAATCTATGTTACTTCCAAACAAGGCCTTTCTCATTCATAGTATTTGATGAGGGTCTGCAGGAGTCACCATTTTTCACTTATAAATTTCCCATTACTCCACGTAGTTGGCTAGCACAACCCCCACTTCAACCTGTTTTACTTTTGCTGGATATCATATACCTTCTCATCCTTCTGATAGCCTTAACAGGCATATCAGCTTCTCATACCTTCCCACCCACCCCCACTACAAACTATAGTATGTACTTTAGAATGCCTTTTGCAGACAAATTTTACCTAATTTATCTGTTTTCCCACATCAGCAAGAGCAAAACAGATTTTTTTAAAATTGAAAAGTCAGCTTCCTTATCATCTCTATTATATTGAAAATGCTGGAAGCAGATTTCATTCAAAAATTCAGATTTAAACCATAATATCACAGTGTTTTAAGCCTTATAATTTTTAAGAGGAAGCCAGCTTCAAGTACTCTAAATGTATAAAATAATACTGCTTTCTAAACTATTCAGTTGCAAAAAGAAATTATATGTACAGCAGTTTAAGCATACCTGTTAAAGCTTGCAACTCTCCACCTTCATTTGCATCACCAGCTTCAGGACATTGGTCATCGAACAGATCCAAGACTGTTTGGTTTTCTCCTTCCATTTTAGTGTCTTCAAGATCCTCTTCCATTAAATCCATTTCTATAACTTCATTTGCCTTTCCACTAAAAGCCACCTAACAGAAGTAATTTAGAATGCCTTCATTGCACCTTATTCTGCAATACACTCCAAATGCCTTATAAAACAAAATCTACAGAACACTGTTTCATGAACATTTCCATACATGAAAACAACACTGTAGCAACCCCAGACCTACTGGAGTATCCCACCCTATAGTTATGCTGCCACCAACCATTCCCTGTAAGGAGTCACACAGACCAGGAATGGAT